TCTTATGTGGGGGTGTGCTCCTCGTCTTCAGTAGCTACCTCACCATGGTGTGACAGGCCATTAAGACCGAGTAATGTGTCTTCAACAAAAGGCCATCAATCTCTGAAAGAGATCCTCAGGGCGCTCCTCGGTTTCAAGGTGCAAGTTTGCAGAATCCAGAAGGTGAGCGCCTGTTACTTGAAAGCCAAAATGTTCACGTATCGTGTTTGAAACTGATTAAATAGAAGTTGAATTCTTCACCAGAGTAGTTCTAGATGTGACAGGAAAATAATTCGCTATCTGTCCGATCATGAGCGCCAGAAAATTAACCTTTTGCCGGGTGGTAAGACGTTGTTCCTCCGGTACACTTGAACCATCGTTTCCAAAGTCGCTTAGGGGCTGGCCTTAGTTTTCTTAACCTACGTAACGCCATCCGCGTGAAATGGCGCGAAGTGGCTGTCGAGTGACAGTGTATACACTAAGTTCTGCTTCCAATTTTCGAAGCTGTTGACAGTCTCGGTCTTTGAGAGGCTCCACTGCTTCGGTGTATGGTGAGTACTGGCCATAACTGTTGCTTTGCTGCTGTTTAAAGAGTGAATCGTGCCTTGGCAACGAAGTATCGACTTACCGACGAATGGAGCGGCGACTCTGCCTTGTGTTCGACGTTTAGGTTTTCTGGACGTAGATTCGAGAGCGCTGCCACCACGCCAGAAGGAGAAGGATCGGTCGATCGATGACACGATACGTAACACAACCAAAGCTTTAATAACAAGACGCCATGGAGCCTACACTTCGGCGTCGTGGTTGTGGAACTGATTAATTGTAAAAGCGGAGGAATAGTAGGAAATGAAAATAGTTTACAGCTCTTTGCTGCTAGATAACCCAGTGTTACCGTAAATTTCTTTTATTTTCACTGATTGATATTTATTCTATTTCTAAATGGAAAAATAAACCAGAATCCACTTCTTTAATCCACCACCAATCTAAATCGAATTATGTTTGAACGTCGAACCGCAAACGGGTAACCGCAAACCGCGGTTAGAGGTTCGCGGTAAACTCCGATCTAAAACTCTCTATTCTGAAAAGAGCAACATCCGAGAGGCCTCTCTTGTCAAAAACTAGAATTTCGGGGCAAATTGTCTCTGAGATATTAGCCCAGTTAAGCTCTGATGACTCCATACAAATCCTTCTAAATTTGACTTGGGTCTAAACGTTTAGACCTAAGTCAAATATGAGGTAACTGGCGGTGAATAACAGGTCTAACAAAAAAAAACAAAGAAAAGAGAATTCTCTATTTTCTTACATCAGGTTTTCAAAAATAGTATAGCAGTCTCATGTACTGATTAAAGATATATAAGGCAAGGGTAAGGAGTCAGTTACGTTGAGCATGGAATTGGCTAAAACTCAAAGTTACGAGTTCGAATTAACACAATAACAAAGGAACAGTCTTTACAGTTTTTTAAAACACAGCGTCCGCCAACACAAACTTGACTTGAACTTAAGCGAAACTAAACAGCCTCTGCCAATAATAACAAGCTCTCACTTGAACTTCAGATATGTTACGGCTTCCGCCAACTTGTAAACACAGAACTTAAAACTCGACCTTCGTCACACTTGACTAAACACAGGACTCCAGTTCGTGGGAAAAACACTTAGTTCGTCGAAAGAACTCGCTTCGAACTTGTCTACCGTTTGACATAAGGTTCTAGAAAACACGAAACAGGCGAATAGTAGTAGCTTTTCGACATATTTTATGATTTTAGTAACCGGTCAGTGTAAGACGCAGACTGCGGACTGCGGACTGCAGACTGCGGACCAGGGGTAAAATGCAGACTGTGTGTAAAATGCAGACTGCAGACTAAGAGTAAAACGCAGGCTGGGGTAAAATGCAGACCGAGCATAAACTGTAGTCGTGGAAGGGTTTAAGGGCAAAAAAATCCCGCAAATACATGTAAACGAACACTTACATGACGACATCTGCTTTCACACTTCCATTCCTTTCTTCTCTGGAACGTCGTCGACGACCCGAAAACATAATCGTAATCTTGAACCCTTTTTTCCGTCCGAGAGACTTCACGCTTCAACTTTAGATGCGAAGTTTTCGATATACGTGACCAGGGACCGTGAACTGGTACAACACCACGATGTTTACGCTTAAATGAAAGCTGCTGACCCAAAATACTGTACAGGAAGAAATATGGCGATTAAAAAAGGTAGAAAATCCTTCCAACAACAAAGAAAAATGTTCTGCAGGAAATTTGGATGACCTTCTATGAAAGTATTGCAAATCAAGGTACGCAGACTTAAGCTGTTCGGATGTTCATTGAAACCTCTGGCGAATGGACAATGCACTTCGACGAGGAAGCGAAGTGTGTAACTGATACCGGCTAGCTATTTCACCGATTTGGAGAAGAAGGAGTACAAATGTTTAAAAAAGTCTACAGTTTTTATTCTGCATTTTGCACCCAGCCTGCGTTTTACTGTCAGTCTGCAGCCTGCATTTTACATTCAGTCTGCATTTTACCCCTGGTCCGCAGTCTGCAGTCCGCAGTCTGCGTTTTACACAGACCGTTTTAGTAACTGATGCAAATCTGCTGACTCATGCTGAAATATAAACATGCCCTAATTAATTATTCATGAATAATCCAAAAACGTAGAGAACGTTCGAGAAAGTCACGCAACGCATGAAAGCAATTTACTACGCAACACTCAACAAAGACAAAACGTCTTTGTGCAGCATTTTGTAACTTTATATTCATCATAAGACAGTTCGAGAGGAGCGCTCACTGGTGAAATGTTTTTCAACACTCGAAGAGAAATTTCGTGTCTCTACGCGGCCATGTAATATCCTCTATTTATTCCTCGAGTAAACTAAAGACTTAACTCGAAGTGCTTTCAAGACATCACGAAGTAGTCCGGTCTCATTTCGTGAAATAGCCGAAACAAGCCAAAAAGTCACGAACTTGCGCGCCCAATCTTGTCCCGAAACTAGTGCATAATTTCATAGCTATTTTTCATATTCCGAACTACCTTTGGTTGCAGTGGCGCAATCGGCTAATCCCTCAACTTAGAGTCTCCTCTGATCTTACGGGTCACACAGGTGAGTCGGTTCAAACCCCGGGAAAGCCAAATAATAATTCTTTGTTCCTCGAATAAGTTAAAGAATAAATCAAAGTAATCGAAGTGATCTCGAGATATCTAGAACTAATTCGGTTCTCACTTCGTCAAATAGCCGAACAAAACCGAAAACCTACAGACTTTCCGAGCCCAATCTTGTCCCAAAAATATCAACTTTGGGACATCCCTGAGAGTCGCGAATCCTTTACTTCACGCTCCGCCGAAGTAACAAGGCAAAACACACAAGTCTTAACACGAGGGAAGCGAGAGACAAGCGAGGAACATGCCTTTTACAGAAGTACCGCTGACCGGTGCTGGCGGTAGGCTCGCGTTTCCTCAAACCGGTGGCCAAAGTAGATACTTTGAATGATGTGGCGTGAGTTCACTTTAAATACCTCAAGTGGGACGTGTATGTAAAATCGCCCCTCCATTGCGTCGCAAGATCGTAGCCTTCTTAAAATCTTGTCGTGAATTTTCTTTAACATTCGCAGCACCATTCCTATGCTCGGCAGGAGCTGCTCTATTTCTCAATCTTTGCTTCGTGACACATTGAAGATGTATTTTGCTTCTAAAGTGTCGCCTACTTCCTCAAATTGGCAATAAAAACTCCAAATCTGCTTTAATTGAGTAGAATTATCCGTTTTAGACGTATATCGTCCCATATTCCGGCGCAGAAATCTGTTTATCATATAGAGACGAGTGTTTTACTGGAAAATATACCACTCATAAAATTCATAAAAACTACATCCGGGACCCGAGTAGCTTATTTTCCATAATTTCACACGTGAGTTTATCGATGACGTAATTTTGGTAATTTTCCTCTATTATTTTATCGATGTCATTTTGTCTATATAATAAAAAGAACATTACACGGCGGCTTGAAGATATGAATTTTCCTCTATTTATTTCCCTCGAAGGGGGATTTTCTTTAAAACATTTCCCATCTTTGAATTTTACCAAAGCCAAAAAAAAATTCATCGACTTATCTTATTTGCGCAAGTGTTCAGAATTTATGTTTATACATTTTAAATATTAGCGAAAGAACCTGCTACAAATTTTAGACTTAAGAGGTTGTTGTGTAGAGGTGGCCCAACTGTCAAATTTTAGCCTAACAGGTTCTTAAAAACCAGGTTCTTAGTCGCGGGTTTTAACTGTATTATGCAAGAAAGATTACGAAACTAAACTACGTCAAAAATGTTTTTCTCCCGAAAACAAGAGTAATTGTAGATCAATAGTAGATCACACTTAAGTAATTGTATTTCTAAGAATAAAATCATATCATATTTGGTCAAATATATCGGATTCGCTGGTTATCCGTATCACTCACAATTATCCTTTCATCACTAAGACTTGCTGCAGAAACCGGAAAATTAAACTCTCCTCTCCCGCTACTTTCACCTCCAAACTTTGTAACAAACTTTCCACTCAGTTCAAATACCTGAACTTTGTGATTTCCTGAATCACAGACCATTAACAATCCTTTGTTAACTGACAAATAACGGGGCCTAATGAACTCTCCATTCTTGCTCTCATATTTTCCAAATTTAGAAATAAACTTTCCCTCAAGATCAAACATTTTAATGGAACTATCAAAATAGTTTGAGACTATCAAATATTGACCGTGTTTGGTCAGTGATACGCAGTGACCAAAGAACCTGATCCACCAAATCCGGTTTACGCCGTTAATACTCCCCAAGGGAAGAGAAAATCTTGATTAATTTGTTACCCTTATTTACAGGAACAATAATATCACCGTTATCGTATATTGATAAACCTTCAGGGTTTTTAAGCTGGCGATCAAGACTTCCATATTCACCAAAGTTACGAAGAAAGTTGCCATTTCTGTCAAAGACTTGAACCCTGTGGTTTTTACAGTCTGTCACTTATTATAATGGCCCTGATAGTTATCGGATCCCGGAACCATTTTTCTCATCCTCCCCACCAAACGATCTTAAGACGGTACCGTCACTTCTAAACACTGAAACCCTGTGATTGAAGAGCTCAGTCACAGCAATTTCATCACGATTATTTACTGCCACCCCCCAGGGCCCGTTAAGCTCTCCAACAGACTCACCTTTTTGTCCAAATGATAGCACAGGAATGTAACGCTTGGTTTGTAAATGAGCCTCAAAAGGACTGTCAGCAACAATTGCCTCTTTATTCCGAGCAATCCCAGCTGATTTTTGCGATTTAGTGTCGCTAAAAACAGTTTTTACATTACCTATGCCTTCACTGTTCAACGCGTTTATCACTGCTTCACTTTTCGTGAAACTAAACCGAGGAATACATTCAGTATCACGGTTTTCTTGGGTGCCCTGTTCCTGAAGGATTTTATCAAATGTTTCGTTGAATCCAAGGATTTCTGTACTAAAGTTTCGTTTCATTAGAGATTCAGATTGTTCAATTGCTGATTCAATTGTTTTTACTTGATTTTCAACTTTGCCTTTTTTCTGTGAGAGTGTTTCAAGTAATTTTTTCGCTTCGTTATCGACCGCATCAAAAACATCATGTTTCCTCGCTTCGATGATTGCAATCATTTGGTCTACATTCGTCTGCACTTGGCTTTTTACGTCGGCTACTTGCGCTTGAACTTCCATGCTCTTTTGGTTGAATTGTTCCACTTCCTTTCTTTTTTCTACAATTTTATCTTTCAAGGAAGTAATCATGGAGTTGATCTGTGTCTTGCGCGCATCTGCAGCTTCTTGCAAGGGCATCTTACCATGACCTTCATGAAGCGTTACAGCGCAAGTGTTGCAAATGGCGACTTTACAGCCCCTGCAAAAGAACTTCAGTTCTTCTTTTTCATGATGTTTCTTCTGGCAAATTGCTGGTCGTTGTAACACAGCCTCGAGGTCTTGATCTTGAAAATCCTTTAGTGCCAGCGTTTTGTGTTCTTTATTGGTGCGTATTATGTTATGTGCTAAAATACATTCCTCGCACCAGAAAGAACAACACTGGAAGCAATATAAGGTCTGGGCGCTCTTCTTGTCACAATTTTCGCATTTCACGTTAGCTGTACTGCACTCTTTAATTGTTAAGACATCCAGCAAACTGTTGATACGAAAATTTGTGGGAAGCTCGCTGGGATTTCCACTTCCAGGGATTTGAAACTGTCTTCTACACTCAGGGCATGCAATTTTGCCATTGACGCCGCTCGTTCGTTGAATTCCGTCCAGGCAATGAAGACAGAAACTGTGCAAACAAGGCAACTGCTTTGGATCAGTGAATGTACACATACATTCAGAACAGGATACTTCATCATGAAGATTGTCCGGCAAGGTCTTTATATCCATGGAAAAGTTCGGGATTGAGTTTGAAATACTCTATAAAGCTTGTTGTTGGCGATACGATATTTTAAATCGGATTTCCAAAGAACCCAACCCACGTAATGTCCTCTGACCCGGACCAAGTAATCGGCTCCTGCCCGAACTAACCTTTATTTTATCAACCAATCAAACAAAGTCTCTTGCATTGTTTGACATTTTGATTTAATATTCTGTTTTTCTTAGAACCGTTGATCTGCTCTACAGAGCATGGCTGTCGCAATTTTTTTCGTCACCTTTTAAGCGAAACGAACGATATTTTTCCGAATTTCTGCCCGTTGATCAGACAAGTGTTGACAAACCACAGGACACCCAAGCTAGCGTGTGAGAACGCGTTGTTGTGTAACAAAAGTATTGTAAGGGTTTGTGTGGCGATTTTAGCAATCGTTATAAAGGGGTCAAAAATAGCAATAAAAATACACGAGAACTTCTTATGCTGTCTGAGTCCTGTCTTATTTTATTTATGGTGTGCTGTTAGCATTTTGAGCCTTACTAAGACATGCAAAAATCTTGCTGAAACGGCAAAAATAAACTGCATAAATAACCAAGGAAGCAACGTAAAAAGTTCTACTCATAAATACACTCACTAAAATCCCCACACAAACCCTTACAATATTTCTGTCACTCAACAACGATTCTCACTCGTGAGCTTGGCATACCTGCGGACAAAACGCCGTGATCTTTTCCGGTATCTTTTAAAGGGGCTTGGAAACTAGCAGCAAAATGCTTTTAATTTTGGGAACACGTTCGTTAAAAAAAATGCCCTGTTCACTCAAACGCCTTGGACTCATGAAAGACATGCAGACGCACTGTGATAGTTAAACCTTTCTTACATCGGCGTGCACATATTGTTTCTATGCTACACTAAAATAATGAAAAAACATAACAGAGTATAATCCTATAAATGAGGTAACAATTTCTTTCACGAATGGAGTAATAGAACGTCGCAACTTATTATCAATCCCCTCTACAATGTCTCATCAAAGATGTCCATGAAATGTTTGCGCCAGCTAGAACACAACGTTTGTCGAAGGAGGTGTTACACAAGGAATGATTCGAGGGCGCTTCGTAAAGTTAGCAATGGCTCTCGTACGTTCTTCAGTCCGCAATGTACCTAAGTCCTTAGCAATCTTCAGCTGTTTATTATGCCGTAGAAAACGTAGGTCTCTCTTGTTCTTCAGATTTAGCGAAGGGAGTGTACGTACGTGGTCATTTTCGTTTTGCTCGACGGACTAAAAAAACAGAGACTGCTTGTAGTTTCTGAAAAACGATTTGCTACATTCAAGTGAAGGCTTTACGGCCAGTAACACATTTCAAAAGATAACTAATCCACAATTTCATCCATAAATATAACTGAAAAGCAAACAGCTACTAGTATTTTCTGAAAAACACTTTAGTTGTTAAGTATCCCGTTGGACGCAAAATACAGCCTAGCCATTGATTAGGTTAGATTATTAAAACTACCATGTACAGAACACTGTTATATCACGCTTGTTGAAAATCATTTACACACATCATCAAAGCGCTGCAAATGTTCTATAGGAAGTTAAGTAATGATCCGGGTAAGATGGATAGCACTTTCTTTTGTTATGCGGCAACGGTGCTTTCCCCACATAGGAATGTTCTCATTTTTACACAGAGAATGCGTAAACCTACATGAAGGCCGTTTACGCAATAAAATGCATTTACACTCCACTTTGAAAGGGTGTTTTTTTGTGTCCAAAAATTTTGACCAATCACAAGAGTTGAAAACAATAGCCAAGAAAAGTTTACAATTTTACATGTTTCCCACATAGGATTTCTTTGTTATTCAAACTGAGACAATACAGACAATAGAAAAGTTTAGTTTTTGCATTCCAACATGTTCGTTGCCGTAACTTGCTATCGTTCTTATCTGGACCGTTTCTTAAACTTCTAGGCTGGAATGAAATCCTTAGAGAGACTTTAGCGTGAGGTTTCAAGAGTTAATTCCTTGTGTAACAGTCCTTGTTAAATAACTCTTATCTATTTCCATAACTTTGGCGATTCAAGTTAGTTGCCCAGTTTCTCAAGTTCATCCACGTCATCAGTCTGCAAGAGCGTTATTTTCTTGCCAAAATGTTCTTCGATTTTCTTCATGATCGTCATAGACCGCTGACCATCAATGAAGTTGACGGCAATGCCGCTCTTGCCAAACCGGCCAGTCCTGCCGATCCTGTGTAAGTATGTTTCGAAATCGGGTTTACCCGTGGGCTCAACTGGCATATCGTAATTTATTACGACAGTAACCTAAAGCAACAAAACAACAAATAAAAAAACATCGTATTACTAAGAGCCTGTTTACATGGAGGTGGGGGACCCCAGGTAGGTGGGGTAACCCCTCTGTCCATATAATCTCTCATTTTAATTTGATCACTTTTACATGTAAACAGGCCCTACGGCCTCACGGCGTCACAAGGGAATTGGGGTGGGGGGGGGGGGAGACTATGTCACAAGGGAATTGCTCTTTTTGATCAATTCTGTGCTCAGTTCATTACTTCGTGCCTTAACCCTTTAAGCCGCAATATCCACATACAGATTGTCGAAACTGATCTCTATACATTTCCTTAAAGAATGTGTTGAGAGAATTTGAGAAAAGATCAAGGCATTTTCTCTTTGGGGGTCATTTTACTAGTTCTCACAACCTAATCTCTTGACATTTATTTATTTATATGGATATCGTCAGGAGAAAATTGATGTTGGTCACCATTGGGACTTAAAGGGTTAACCCATACAAAAAATGCTCCTATGGAGTCACGAAGAGGATATCAAACAAATTTCATCAGGGAGCACTGAAAATAATAACCTTTTGGTAGTTTTTGCCAGCATAGAATCAAAATTTGAAAACTGGCCCAATCACTATGGTCTAAAATAAGGTAAGTTAAGGAGCACATTATATACCATACATCCCTACCTGAATTTTTAAGGAGTAACATACAGTAGCTACCCACACTCTTACTTGGCTCCTACTTACTTTTTTATATCCAATTTTAATACCATTTATGTTTTTTACATTTTTCATTGCTGTTTAAAATTCTGGTACCTTAGTGTGGTTCCCGATGTTGTTACATGTATAATTTAAGACTTTGTCATGCACAAACCCAAAATCTATGCTTTAATACTAGGGGGTGGGGTCACTGATTCTTATGGCGGCCAATGTGAACTTACCTGTTCCACATCAATGCCTCTGGCGCTGACATTAGTTGTTATCAGCAGTTTCTCCTTGCCGTCGCGGAATCTGTTTAATACTGCTAGCCGCTGTTCCACTGTGATCTCGCCTGACAACAGCGCTACTGAATGACCATCCCCTGTCATCTTCTCTGCCAACCAAGAGGCGGCCTTGCGTGTCTGAAATTACACAGGCATACACAAATGTAAAAACATCCTGGGGTTAGGAAAATTTTCTGAATAGCAACTAAAATTTATGCTGCTTTGAAGTCGTTTCCTGGGGCGAGGAAGGATTTAGATGGGAATCAGGGGAAAGGCGAAAGGAAAAGGAGGGCGTGGGAAGGAATTTATTTTAACACTTACGTGACAGAAAACGATACACTGTCCAATAGACACAACGCCATACATGTTGGAGAGGGCCTGGAACTTATCTTCTTTGTCACGACACACCACATAGTACTGCTTGATATTGTCCAGGCTCTCCTCTTCCCGACGAAGCCGAATGATGAGAGGGTCTGGTACTACTGTCTTGGCAAATTTCATCACCTCGTCGTCGTAGGTTGCAGAGAACAGAAGCATTTGGCAATCTTTTGGCAGGGTCCTAGAGCAGAGGAAATACATTATTTGTTAAGTTCAGTATTCGCATTGAAACTAAAGTAAGGTAACAATGACAACCTGCCATTGGCTACCTGCCCCTGGAACCTGTCACACTCATCTCTCAGTGGAGAATATTAAAGATCAAAAAAGACAACTTAAATGAATGGACTTCCCTCCAAGGAACAAAGAGGTGGGTGGGTGGAAGGAAGCAAACAAAAGGGAAAAGAGCGGTAAAGCTATTCAAAGCAAACCAGAAGGCAAACCTCTGTGGAAATAAGACAAATGCATATGCCCAATGTAATCATTTACTGGCCAACAGAAAATCTCCCAGTAACTATGATTATTTATAATCTCTTTAAAAGGACGTAACAGAGAACTTTTTGCCAGTTTCATCCGTAAGTATGACAAAAGGGAAGTAGCCTTACTTGTGTATTCTAATGGACTGATCCTGGTGTCCCTGTTGTGCTATCATGACATCAGCCTCATCTAAAACAAACATCTTGATTTTTTTGGGGTCCAGTGCTCGGTGGCGGAGAATCCAGTCTAGTAGAGTTCCGGGTGTAGCAAATATTATGTGATCTGTAACTTTCTGACCTCTTGACACTGTAGAAAGGAGAAGGAGTGGGGATTAAGAACATTGAAGGCTGTTTATGGAATATACAATAATCATGTTCTTCAGCGACAAAACAAAAACAATGCTAAGCCATATTTATAGGCCTTATTCAGGGTGAAAAGAAAGACGTAAGCTGTAGCTAGCCACAAGGTCATTTCAANAAGTATGACAAAAGGGAAGTAGCCTTACTTGTGTATTCTAATGGACTGATCCTGGTGTCCCTGTTGTGCTATCATGACATCAGCCTCATCTAAAACAAACATCTTGATTTTTTTGGGGTCCAGTGCTCGGTGGCGGAGAATCCAGTCTAGTAGAGTTCCGGGTGTAGCAAATATTATGTGATCTGTAACTTTCTGACCTCTTGACACTGTAGAAAGGAGAAGGAGTGGGGATTAAGAACATTGAAGGCTGTTTATGGAATATACAATAATCATGTTCTTCAGCGACAAAACAAAAACAATGCTAAGCCATATTTATAGGCCTTATTCAGGGTGAAAAGAAAGACGTAAGCTGTAGCTAGCCACAAGGTCATTTCAACTAACACGGAAAAAACCTTTTTTTGAGAAGGATTGATTACAGTTCCTCTGTAATAATTTTTTATGGTGCTTATACCAAACATTGAATTAAACCCCTTAAGGAAACCAATTGAGGAAAGGCTCAAGCTTTTTTTTACCACAGCCCCAAACAAGACCTTAGATGCTAAAAATATTGGCATTTTACTTTTCGTCTTAGTAAGTAAGACAAAAAATCCAAAATTTACACCCCTGAGCGAGACAGGATGGTATCCCCCCCTGAGGCCTACATGTATGTCTTGCACAATTATTTTTCCTGGCTCAAATTTCTCACCTCTCTCCCCCCTCACTGCATAACCAATCTTGACGTCAGGGCAGAATTTGCCCATCTTTTCTGCCACTTGTCCTGTTTGTAGTGCAAGCTCATATGTAGGTGAAATACAGATAACCTTGATAAAAGTACAACAAATCAGTTCATTGCAACAATTCAGCTTTATGTGAACAAATTCATTATCTAACACTTCATATTTGTTCCTGATGTAACTCTTTCACTACAAGAGAGGAAGATGGAATTTACAACAAAGTAAAACAAGAAGTAAAACGAAATAATACCTGAGGGAAGTTTTTTGTTGCATCTACTCTGCTAAGCATTGACAAAACAAATGCTGCAGTTTTTCCTGTCCCAGACTGTGATTGAGCTATCATATTGTTCGGTCTAAACATCAAACAAAAAGCAAACATTTATACGACTGCCACTTGACACCCACCAAGACACCTCCCAAACATGTTGCGCCTTTATAACATGGAGGGAAGGTTCATGTGCCTCAATGACCCTGAAAACTACACTGTATAGTGGTTGGGACCTCACATTTTGGTGGGTTCAACTGTGTTGGGCGGGTTTGGGGTGAAAGGCCAGGCCCCAGTTGTTTAAAAGTTGGATAGCACTATCCACTGGATAAATCACTATCCAGTTGATACATGTTAGGCAAACCAATAAAATTGTGCTATCCGGTGGACAGTGTTATCTACCTTTTGAACAACTGGGGCCAGATGAATAAAATTGCAATGCCTAGCCCCACCAGGTTGGGGGTTGAGGAGTGAGTTAATGTCTCATTCCCATAAAAAAATATTGCTGATACCAGACACACTTTTCAAGGACAAGTCAGAGGCCTTATGAGTAATGGAGCTTGAAGAGGAGAGTCAAGGTAAGTACCCACCGAGAAAAGAAATTTATTCATGATTAACATTTTATCTCACTGAATATGGGCACACTGTATCATAATAATATTTCAGATTAAATTATTCTGGTTATATGGTTTTACTCATCCATCAGTGTTGATTATGTGAAGAATGTGGACACTATTATCAAATTAATCCAAGGGATTAAACATGCAGTAACTCACGGATCAGCTAAGAGCATGGGTAGTGCTGTTTCCTGAATCTTGGATGGTTTGTTAAAACCCATATCATAGACACCACGACGGAGTTCTTCTGACCTGATAAAAAATACAACACAGATTATATTATTTTATGATAATAATAATAGTCACTGGCAATAGTCACTGATAAAATTTTGAAATTTAAAATCCTTTCATGTCAAGAGGAAAAGAAATAGAATGGTGGTCGGTACTTACAGTGGTAATTCCTCAAATGACTTGACAGAGTGCAAGGGTGAACTTGGGTCATTTCTCTGTACCTCAACCTCATTCTTGGTCTTAACAAGTTTACTTCTTAACACTTTCATCAAAAAAGAGGCATCTGCAAGGTCTGTAGCCTTAGTCTGCTCTGTGGAAGAAAGACAATGCCGATATGGGGTTTTAGTATTGATAAAAGTATAAATAATGGTACTAAGGACTGAGTGGAATCCAATTCGGTCTGTAATCATACAAGTGATTAACAAAATTGGACGACTGCATAGCGGGAGTCCGATTTATTTAATCACGAGTATGATTACAGGCCACATTGGATGACACAAAGTTCTGTAACTAATTAATCATAAGTATAACAAAGTTTGTGAGATTTGGTCCTTTTTTAAAATTAAAACACAAGAAATTACGATAGCTTTTTCTAGAAGTTAAAAAAAAGCCACTTAAGTGTGTGCGGGCGATGGCACGTACTGTCAAATTACTTAGGCATAACGCGTACTGTCCTATTACACTGTCCTGTTAGTACTGAAATCAGGACAGTTGATAGCCAATCAGGACAGCTGATAGCTATGATTAGTATGAATAGTAATATTATTACAAAATATGTCACTGAGCAATGAGCTTGCATTTTATTTGTACCATTATCCTCTTCTTCTGTATTAGCTTGCTTTTCCTCAGTTGCTTTAGTGGTACTTGTGTTACTTAATTTCAACTTATCAACCTGCAAATAGTGAATAAAAATATGAAAGTCAAAAAGGGGGTCAGTAGTAGCCTGAGAAAAAAGCCAACATTTTGGGCCACCATCACTGTTTTCCATGTGGGGAATGAGTGCAGAAATTCCATACTGATGATGTGTCGCTACCCAGATATGGGCAATGCTTCTGATTTGTTATGCTGCGAGGGAAATTTGCATTAACCAATCAGAATCACTACACAAATCTGGTTAGTGAAACGCCATCAGTCTAGAGTTTCTGCCCTTGCTCCTCAGCGGGTCATTTCCTGGGAAAACCAGTGGTGGCATCACAAAATGTCATTGAATTTTTGGCTTTTTTCTCAGGTAAATCTCCCGACAATAGTACTCTTAATGATCATTAGATCTCTTGCTTATTGTTCCTATCATCACACATTATATAACACAGCGTTTACACTCGGTGCCCAAATACAGTACTTACTGGGCACTAATGTGAACGCACCATTTTTCAAGTACCCATGCTAGAATTCGGGCACAGTGCTGTTGCCCAAGTACAAGGTCTCGACCTTGTTCTCGGGCACAAAAGTAGGCACTGGGTCCCTATCAGCACACAATTTTTGTAAGTTCCAGGCAGTACACTGCTTTGTTGTCACTACTAAGCTCATGTTTTAAAATGGAGTCTGACAAGGCGAAAAGGAGTAAGTATGTATACAGTCACATATCAGGTATTTCAAGTGTGAACACAACACCACTTCGTGCCAGTACCGAGGCACTGGTTCTCAAGCACCAAGCGTGGAAAGCCCCTAAGATGTAGTGAATGATGAAAAATTTGACATTTAAAACATAATTTAACACAAGTGAAAATCCATGGGGGAGCCAGAATGTTTAATTTATGAAAATGCCCACAATCAGAAGGAAGAGAAAGGGCATGCTTGCAATGACTAGGCCTTTAATACCAAAACCCTTGAAGAAGAAATGATCGTTTTTCTTGGCCATCTCTGTGGTTAAAAAGCTGCATATGAGTTCCTGAACAAGGAGGCTTGTCCAAAATATCTTGCAGTATCATTGATCTTATTCACTACTACAAGGGAAGAAAAGTCTAAAAACCAGTACATTTCCTACGAAATGAAAGTGAATATGAAGGTGTAATATCAATACACTCTTCTTTTTTCCCCGGATCGACATGTCAGCTTAAAACTCTGCATCAAAATGAAGCCATCATTCAACGGTTTGATGGGTTTTTATAAATTATACAACCAAAATTGGTTAAGATAACACACGAGCTACTAAATGAAAATTCATTAATTCATCAAGCTAAAGCTTCAAAACTATTTTCAACAGTTATAAGCAGAGGACGCCGAAACGTACATGCGAAATCAATCGCACGTGTTTCAAAGAATGAAGCGTTATGGAATTCTAACCGCGGCGACAGTAACTTACTTCTACAGAGATTTGCCGCTCTTGCTCATCAACTTCAGCCGCCCAGTCTTCATCAGTGGTAGTCATTGCTACAAGAAAATTTCGATCATGAACAGTGAAACGAAAGATATTCCGAAGACTAGCTGATTTTGAACACTGTGGTCTGTTTCCGGTGTTTTTGAAAGAGGCTTGGGATCTAGTAACACCCTCTACTAACTTAACTACTAACTATGGTAACACCAATCAATAAAATCCCGTGAAACCGCTGAGCGCTCCTTGAAAATCCTATTCCTTCGGGAAAATATATCAACTTTCAACGAAATACGCTTCCACCAGCGTTTTAGCTCTACAAATGCCCAAAAAGTTTCAGCAACGTTCTTCGGTAACAGATCGATAAATTTCCGGGATATGCTCGGAAGTTGCTAAGCAAAGGATACAACGAGTATGGCGGCGGACATTTGACGATGTACCCAGCGAACGAACTCACAGAATCTGCAACGCAGAATAAACAAACGATTCCTCATTCAGTAAAAGCCAAAATGCCAGCTGCATCTGGAGTGAGACGTATTAGTGGAGGTAAGGAAAATGTTAAGAAAATTCATTGTGCATTTCACGAAATCGTACATTAATTTCGGCTGGCCCCTAAAGGTGAAGATCACAGTGAAATAGTGGAAGAAATCAGAAAATGACACCCACCCTTTCTCGAATGTTGCAGGATCCCCCCTGGTGTAGCAGAAAATGTAGAGAGTTAGCAAAGATAACTTCCTTTGCTGCTTACTGCCGTACTTTGAATCCAGTAAAAAGGTCCAATTGGCCAGTTTTTGTATCAAACCTGTGGATTGGAGTCATTGTCACTTGTAATCTTCAACATTTTTGTTCAAATATTTTTATTGCAGAAAATTTTGGTGAACGTCCTTTATCACGTCATGGCGAAAGACCCACAAGCAGCAGATCTCTTGACAGTCCCTTGCAAACTGCAGCACAGTCACCCCAACAAAGGTCTCTGTATGATGGGGGAAGTAACCTTCAACGTCGAAGCTCAGAAGAGCTGATCTCTTCTCATGGTGCTGTCTTTGTTCCAAGGCCTCCGTCCAGGCAAAAGACAGGTGGTCGCCCCAAATCAGCCAAAGGGCGGGTGCGTCCTAACTCCCATGTTGGAAGAGAAAGAAAAGTTTCAAGAGAGAGTTTGTCTGATGTTGGAGATCCAGTTTCCTGTTCCCCACCACTAAAACCACAGCTATCTTTTTCAAAGTACAAGCCCCTTCCTTCTATAGGCACAGGGCTTGTTCCCAAGACTGACAATTACCATTCTTTAAGTGAATTATCTCAAAGTAGAACAAGAACACAAACTGACAGCAATGATACTGATAATGTGATAACCTTGTCAAAAGCTACTGCAAGACTATCATTACACTACTCCCTCCCTGATGAACCAACAGATGCAGAGCCAGAGAGACTTAATCTTGCCATAAAACTATTGGATGGTACTCGTCATGAGAGATGGTTTAGACCCACAGACACTCTAGGCGCAGTGATTGCATTTGCCGCATCAGTTACTAAGGACGAGCTTCCTCCCTGTCTGATTTGCACAAATGAGGTGCCCAGAAGAGTTTTTGATAATTTTTCTCTAAGTTTGTCACAAGCTGGGATAAACTCAAGAACAGTTGTCTATCTTGAAGACTTGGTACCATTAGATAACAATAGTAAATAACTAAACCCCTTCTTGTCATCATAGGAAACCCATTCAATTCAACCACCCAAGGGCGATGGAAATCTGGTAAATTTTTTGAGGTAGTCTTATGAAGGGAGTGGATTAGCAGGGGTTTCAATAAGCACTGATGACCGACAAAATGCGTCGGTTATTTTGCTCAGGGAAGTCGGCTACTGTTCTCTCCAAAAGAAGNAGACACTCTAGGCGCAGTGATTGCATTTGCCGCATCAGTTACTAAGGACGAGCTTCCTCCCTGTCTGATTTGCACAAATGAGGTGCCCAGAAGAGTTTTTGATAATTTTTCTCTAAGTTTGTCACAAGCTGGGATAAACTCAAGAACAGTTGTCTATCTTGAAGACTTGGTACCATTAGATAACAATAGTAAATAACTAAACCCCTTCTTGTCATCATAGGAAACCCATTCAATTCAACCACCCAAGGGCGATGGAAATCTGGTAAATTTTTTGAGGTAGTCTTATGAAGGGAGTGGATTAGCAGGGGTTTCAATAAGCACTGATGACCGACAAAATGCGTCGGTTATTTTGCTCAGGGAAGTCGGCTACTGTTCTCTCCAAAAGAAGAAGCAACTAGTGCTTATGATGTCGTAAACAAAAAACATATCATAAAATCTGGCTACTTCAATTATTATTGAAACCCCTGGATTAGGAGGGTTATAAGTTGGTGTTTTTGTTTGTTTGGGCCAAAAGAAATATGATCAAAATTATAAGGTAGTGATGAGGTAGAGTTTCAATCTTAGTGCTTTGTTCACTTAACCTCCTGCATGGTAAACAGAAAGAAAATGAGGCAACCAAAAGTGCAGCGTTACTCTTGGACCTTGTTCCTCAATACCCTGCGAGCAGAGGTTACTCCCTTGCATGCCTACAGCATTTACAAGCCTTCAAGCCATTTGCATCGCATGTCAGTTACTTAGTTGGTTTGTTTACGCCCCAGGAGAAATATTTTTGTCAGTGTGTAAACAAACCATCCACACAACTGACATTCGACACAAATGACTTGTCATAAACACTAAAAGCCATGCAAGAGAGAAACATCTGCTCAGTTTTGTTTTTCAAACATGTAAAAAGAACCTTCAAAATACTGTTGAGCCTTTACTTTGAGTTCCAGTTTCAGGCCTTTTAGATACACAGGGCAACAAAGACAGTACTTCTGTTTGCCTTTTTCTGGTTGAATGATGCTTCGTAATGCCTGATGCAGATGTAGACTTCACAGATTGTTTTCTGTTTGTAGTTTGATCCTGTTAAAAGGATTTTTACCAAATGCCACTTTAGAAACAAGAAGAACACTTCTGGGTTCTTACTCAGGGCTGTCAAAAAGATTTTAAGTGGCAGGCTGATCTTAAATGAGTAGTGGGCGGCTTTGGAACTCGCACCAAAGGCACAAGTTCTGGAGGGTCCAGGCTTCTAGGGACATTTTGAAATTTAGAGTCTTGGAAATGGCATTTCCAGGTCTTTTCAAGAGGTATTTTCCACTGCGGACGCCGTATGTTGCTTTGTCAGAGTACATGCAAGACTGGGAACAATGTCATCGAAATGTCCCAGATCTAAACCTGTTTAAATATGCGTTCAATGTCATTCAAAATTGGGAAACATATGCTTTACAATATTGCATTCGATGGTGCTTATTTGTTGTTAGCAGTTATGGTAGAAGAAGATGAAAGTGTGTAGCCAGCTAAGGATGGCTAACTAGCCGGCAGTTTTGGCCGGCTACCAACCCTTATTGACAAACCTGTATTACTGAGGATGTGCTGGTCACTATTGCCCATTTTTTCTCCTGTCCTCATTAACAGTCCCAGAAGTATTTACAAAAGTCAACTTGGCCAAGTTTCCATCTCATTTCTAAAGTGGAGAATGTCCAGGTTGATGGAGTGACTCCATCAGAAGTACATGATAAGCATATAGCAACGTGTGGAATACAAAATCAATTAAATTATTTATTGGATAGCTCATGTAAATGTTGTAAAAAATGTTCAAACCATGCATTTTATTTTGAGTGTACAGCTGTAAGTTGTATCTACATGTATATGTATAATTATTCACTTTATTCTTCTGTACATATTATTTATTGTTTTTAATTTATAGACTGCTTAGTTATCAGAATGTTTTTGTTAGCCATAGTTTCATTTCCTCTGTTTCCTGAGCGGGACATAAGGCTGCAGTTATCAGAGTACAAGTAGTTTAATTCATGTGAACTCAGAATGATAGTATAAAAGAGTGTGCAACATAGTATAACGCTCAATTCCTAGTTTTATTAGTCTGCTACACAGCCGTTTTTGGTGTAGTCACGCAACGCTCCTCCCCTCCTCCCCTGCCCGTTTGTGGGGAGGAGCGTTGCGTGATGACACTAAAAACGGCTGTGTAGCAGGGGCTAAAGTTTTATGGAGGGCATGTATTTGTATTTGGATTCTTATAGGCCTAAGGAGGGGAGGGGTAAATTGGTAAAATTTTTGATGGGATGCAGGAGGTATGACTGTCACGTGTTTTGCATCACCCGGCGTTTCGGTTTTTGGAATTAAATGAAATTGAAAAAAGGATCAGAATTTCCTTTAACAGGCTTGAACAAAACAACAGCACTGCAAACCAGAATGACACGTTTTGGGACATGTGGCTGCCTCCTCTTAAGGCTCAGTGGGGAGCACTAAGCGAAAAAAAGCGAGAAGCGAGAGAGGGGAGTGATGGTCCCTTCTTCTCCACTTTCCTTGTTTGCGAGTGACTGGGGACAAGGTAGGACATGTGGGCAATTTGCCGAGACAAATCACCGAAAGCGGCCGTAGTAACAAGGTGGGCTTGGTGCCCAATGATTATCGCGAGGTTAGGCTCGTTTCTTAACACATAGAATACATTTTACATGCAAAGTTTGCTAAACCGGTTTTTTTTTGACTTTTTGTTATCGGCAACAGCTATTTTATTCGGCTAAATTTATTAAGACAGTCCGAAACCAAGTTGGGCCATAGTTGAGCAAACTTCTGTGTGCGGTTCAACATCCCTTTCTGTTAGGTTCCACCGGTTTTGCAGTGATAAGTTCGGTCCACAGGCTTGCTCTGAAATATATTTTATGCCGGCAGAAATCTTCACCGATTTCCGTTACTGGGCCTAGACCTTCCACTGTTTTTTCAACTTTTATGTACCTGATTAATCCCTTTTAAGTAGGTACTCATTTTAACGATTTAAACTCTTACTGTACAGGAACTTACTACACACCCCTGGGTAGAAAACGAAAACGAAATTGCTAAATTTGAGAATGACATGTCCTTGAAGATGTGTGGGGTAGGTAGAAAACGAAAACGAAGTCCTAAGACACAAAAACGAAGACCCCCCTCAAATCACTTATAAATATCTAGAAATGGGTATCTCGACCTTAGATGTGTAAGAAACAACAATATCTTCAATTAGACAAAATTTCTCGACCTTAGATGTGTAAGAAACAACAATATCTTCAATTAGACAAAATTTCCATGACATTAAATAACCATGTCACTCGGAGATGTTAAAGTTGTCGGGGGGTTAATGCCCACCCTTGTTTCTATCAGCGTCAATATTTTTATTACTGACGATAGAAACGTTTCCGAGATTTTATTACGGCCAGTTTGCGCGTGAACCTGAAAACACATCATGTTTTGTGAGAATATTCTTTGTTCTTTGAGCCAAGTATTTTTTACGTGAAATTATATTACAACTTCACTCAATAAACTTGTACTGAAATAACTTTGTACCGAAAAAAAACCGGTAACCCGTGTAAGTACCTGCTGTCTTGCAAACTCTTAATGAAAATTACACACACTCCAGCCACTTGTTTCAGTGTCCTTCGGAAAAGACCTGCACAGAAGAGAAACGCTTCCCCAATAAATTCTAGACTCTTCACAGCTCTTGAGTTCTGTGAGTTTGTCTCTAAACATCACACACAGGGGCACCCAATTAACGGGAATATAGTTCAAAACCACCTAAACACAGCACTGTTAAACGTATTTTAGTATTTAAACGGTAGATATAGGAATATTTTTATCCCCTAAAAATTTGTCATCTGTTTGGATCCTAGCTGAAAGTCTAGTGATCCGAAAATTATAGGGATCAAAACTTACTTTTTCGAAAATTTCAGCCAGAAAAAAAGCTCCCGAAAATTCTAGGCAACCTTTTTAGGGTAAAAATCCGTTAAAAATGGGCAATTATACCATCTTTTAGATGTTCGAAAATCCCAGGAGAGGCAGGCAACCAAGAAATCTTACAACAAATGTACCGAAAATTTTAGATCTCAAATCGTCTTCCGAACAGATATTTTCCGAAAATTGACGTTGGGAACCCCTGTACACAGGAGGGATGTGATAAACTGCAACGAGTGCGAGCACAAGGGAGCGTTGTCCCAGGGAAAAGAAAGGTCTTACATCTTCTCCTTATTGAACCCGCTTACTACGGACACTTTCTGTGGTACGGTCTCCTAAGTGTCTCACTCTGTATTAACGGGGTTTGACTGTACCACGAGTTTAATAAGTATTGCTATGAATTCTACAAAGTAAAACTAAAATGAAACAGAAACTCTTTCCACAGAATTTCGGATTTCTTCTGACATTAAATGACCACGTCACTCGGGAGATCTTAATGTTGTCATGGGTTTAATCGTCAGGAGCCGTGTTGTTTCCTACACTCCTTTAGTGTCTAGAAGCCGTTAAAAGCAGTTTCCAGCCGTTTCCAAGTGATTTTGAGGGGGGTCTTCGTTTTCTCCACTCCGGGGGGATTGTGTAGAAAACGAAGACCCTGGTCGAAATTTTGTATAATTGATGATATTGTTGCCTTTCTCACACATCAAAGGTTGAGATACCCGTTTCTAGATATTTATAAGTGATTTTGAGGGGGGTCTTTGTATTTGGGTCTTAGGTCTTAGGTCTTCGTTTTCTACTCACCCGCTGCACACAGCCGAGATAAAGAAAAATATTTTTACATGGTAAACTGCCCCATATCCTCTGCGATCAGGGCAAAGTCGGGTGACCGGAAAGAGGTTTTGGGCACGTGGTTTTAGCACGCCTACTTGGTTTGGTTTATCTTATGGTTCTCCTATAGTTTTGTGCCTTGTATTTCTGTAGATTATGATTATTCTAATATTAATTAAAAAATAAAACTTTTGTCAAAAAGAAACGGATTTCCGCGATGACGAAAACACAGTCAAAGAAGCCGCTCCCTTCCCCGGTGGCGCAAACTTTTCACCACCGGACAGGCCCGGACTTGTATTGGAATGCCGAAGTAATGTAGTTTCTAACAATTGATTCTATTGGTGGATACTACTGGAAGCCAATTGACTAGCCAATCAAATTTCGCGTTATTTTTGAAGGCCATAAGTTGCATCACAAGTTTTCTTCTGCCAAATACTCTTCGCTGGGTTAGTGACTTTCTAGTTTTAAGAGATGTTTTCTTAGCAGATGCGATGAGATTAAGTGTTTTCGTGGCCCTTTTGGTGAGTATGTGTTTCTCTTGGACAAGATAGGTGAATGTTTGTGCTGTTAGTGAAAGATATCCAACCTCAATCGAAACAACTGCGTCGTCTGACACACATGGACTTAACACCGATAAAACACCCACTAGGCCACTAGAAAATCTAATTTATGCTGTCTCCACAATCATCTAAAATAGGGATTTTTTCTCCTCTGCTTCAAATATGTCGTCTGTACTGTCGAAACTGAAGTTGTAGTGTCGTGTTTGATGGTAAACTTGAATGCAAATGTTGTCCTCAGTTCAAAGGTGCTTCGTTTGCTCTTTTGAACAGGCTCACAGCGTGGATAAATTTGTGGAATTTTTTTCTCATAATGTGCGGCAAAAATGTTGACATCCCAAGCTTACTTCACTACAGAAGCAAACATTTTTCTATTGGTGAAACATTTTATTTTTGTATCTTAGTTTATTGTTACCAAGGATAGTATCGGTAGCTAACGATCATTAACCTAACCACGCTTCACTTGACTTTTGACAATGCTTCATACACCAAGGAAGCCACCACCTTTGACGTCTTAATCAAACCTCAGCTCATACAGCACTAAGCTAAAGTTAGCTGGGTCGATTTGTAAACCTTTTATTCAATTCAAACTTTAACTTCTAGGAACTGACATTACTTTTAAGACCAATATTTGGTTTGCCTTTAGCTATTTTTAAACCTTTTTTGTTTATATTTGTTTATTAATAACTCCCTTGAGGAATTCAAATTATTTCTCAATGAAAGTTTTTATAATTCAGGTCATTTAGCACCATGGAGCTTTTGAAACCACAGAGTTAACGGCAGTGAAAAGGTTACTTATTAAGGAAAATTGAGTTCTTCTTACCACACACTTATATTATTCCAACTCCTTTTTTTGCTGAATTTTGGTGAATTTTCATTGGTTCGAATTTACATGAAATTGAAGGTCATGCAGCCGAAGATCAAAAACAAATCCCCACTTCCAGTATGTGAATAAACCATACCGAATCAAATATGTATCAGTCTACATGAAGTGTTACAGTGTGTTAACGCTTTAAGTCCCAATAGTGACCAACATCAATTTTCTCCTAATAATATCCATACAATGTCAAGAGATTAGGTTATGAGAATTAATAAAATGATCACCTAAGAGAAAATGCTTTGATCTTTTGTCAAATTCTCTCAACTCATTCTTTAAGGAAATATATAGAGATCAGTTTGGAGAATTTGTATGTGGATATTGGGGCTTAAATGGTTAACAGTCAAGCCTCCACTAATGGCCTCCTCTCTCCACAATGGCCATATACAGTCTATACAGTGACTCTTGTTTAAAACTCTCTATAGCGGCCACTTTGGTCTGTCCCCAAGATGGCAATTGTGGAGAGGTTCAGCTGTAATTTATACAATCTATTGTTGATTAATTTCGCTGTGAAGAGTAAGATGGATGGGGAAGGGACAGGGTGGCAAGGAGGTTTTCTGTGACTTGTTTATTATTAATGGGACCCAAATTATCAGCTTGATGCATAGCAGCATGATGGGTGATTTACTATTTTCACAACATGTGACGTGTGATTTTCTTTTGAAAATTCCATGATGGTTGTAACCTTTCAGTTGCTCAGAACTTCTGAAAGAAAGTTATATTGGAGTGCCTCATTTTGCATTAACAGAGACAATATATTACTTTGCATTCTGTTTCAGTGTTTTGTGGCATGTGGCCTGGTGTGTGGACTGAGTTGTCCTACAGGACAGTTTCGTTCATCAGTTCCTAGACTTTGCTGCAATCTTTGTCCTGCAGGCCACTTTATGAGCAAAGAATGCCAGACGTCAGCTAATGACACACAGTGCTCGCCTTGCCGTTCAGGCACATACAATGCCAAAGAAAATAAAGACACTGCATGTCGTAACTGTAGAACATCCTGTCGAGATCAGAAGGAAACCATAGTGAAAAATTGTTCTTCAATTAGTGATCTTCAATGCGATTGTTCAGATGACTATTATCGAGATCCACATTCACTTCAGTGCAGAAAATGCACACCTTGTATGAAAAAGGGCCAAGTGTTGGTATCTCGTTGTGGAAAATACAAGGATGCAGTATGTAAGACTTGCGGCAAGGTAAGACAATAGTTGTAGGCTGCTTTTATGTGATAAGGTTCATGTTGGTAATCCTCTATTTTCACTGTCATGCCATCAAAAATAAAAGTGCAGACCATTTAATATAGAAAGTCCAGAACGTTGGAAATGAAGGAAGATAAATGTACAAAAAGCCTCGCGAAGAGTCTTTGCGATATGTCGTATGCAAGATATAAGGAAAAAAGGTTTCACCAAAATTTATGTAGCTTTGTATGACAGTGCCACTTTGGTGTCCCTTTGAGGGGCATAAATCTGGCCGCCAGAAACCAACAGAAACATCTGTCTAATGTGAGTTTTCCTACAAATGCTTGTATTCATTGCTTGAGGAACTCATGAAGATTAGAGTAATATATATTCTGAGAGAGGAATGTTTAGGTAACAGAATCTCAAAAAATTGGTAACGTTTTTATCCCACGTAAGAGCTTTCCTGGTAATGTGCAAAAATAAAAGTGTTTAGGTGGTGTAATACCTCATACATGGAAGTAGAAACTCGGAAGAACTAATAGTTTCTTAGTTTGAATTTTGGTGACCTCATTGTGAAAACCGGGAATACATTCAAAGGTTTGAACTCAACTGAGGGATTTCTTGCGCCCCGATTCAAGGCTGTGCTCTCAGAAAAGTTGAAGAGAGCCAAGACCTCTGAACCTGTGAAATCCAGGGTGCACAGCATATGATTTTATATGAAGAAAGTAAGATTTTCTAGTCACTTAGGAGCAAAAGTTAGGCACCCGAAGCCACTGGGCACTGTTAGTGTACAGCCTTGCGATTGGTCGAGAGCTATATTGGTCGGTAATTATATGATAATTATATTTGGAGACGAGAGAGAAAATTTTGTATCTGGTAATTTTATTTCTTATGCATAAACACCACTGAAATACCAAACCATTTCACATATATTGTTTTCTTTCTGTGAAAGGTGCGATTTATCTTGTTTTGTAGCCATAGTGATGGTGATCTTTTCATTTGCGAAGATAACATGTTATTTTCTCATGTGAAGATATCATGTTGTCCATTTGCAGTTTTTTGTTTTAAATTGTGGTTGTTCTGCAACTGTCTTTATGTTATTATCTTTTCAGGAAAACTTTTTATTAAATAATAAGTGTGTTCCATGCGATCGCTGCCATAAAGGAGAGTTTGTGGCGGAGGAGTGTTCGCCAAAACGAAACACTGTTTGTAGGAAACTTCCAACAAGTACACCCCCTTCCTCTTCTCCACATATTACCTCTCAAGAACCAGTTACTGAGACTAAGCGTGTTGAAAGAGGTACTGTACATGCCATGTAATTGTTACAAGACAAAATTAAATTCAGGTTAATAGTTTGTAACCTTGGTTGATTCTCGATTTCCTTTGTCTCCTTTAGAAGACAGTCCAAAACGTGTACATTGTCTTGTTGATTATCTTATAATCAAAGAAGAAAGAGAATTAATTTTTTGATCACCCAAACGTACAGAAAAAATTCTGAGCTCACTGATCCACAGTAAAAAAATATTTCCAATGATTGATTCATTGCAACATCAACATGTTGAAAATTTCAACCATTGAATTCTTTACAGAAACGTATGAACACCATCCCAAATAGTAAGTGCAAACCAAGTCTTTACTGTTTTCCTATTAGTCATAGCCAAATAGAGTTTCTAAAACAAAAGAAATAGGCATGTTTGATTGGTTAGAATAATTGAGTACACCAAAGAGAGCCATATGCCACTCTCAGGAATTTGAGGAGATAAAAGGTATGGGACTCTTGGTTGGGAAAAGTTTATTCCAAAAACTACCTGCTGTTCTGTAGACTTGTAGTTTTAGTATTAGGCTATTACTGCAGATTTGCGCTGCCAGGACTTTGTATAGAAGTGTGAGAGTACTTTTTTCTTAGCGTTAATTTGCTTCATGTCCCTTCATTGAAAGTTGTTATAAAAAGGAATTGATGTTCTTACTAATTTATATTTTGCAGCTGACCTTAACCCAACACCAGCTGAGATTAAAGCGCAAAAGAGGTGTCAGGATGAGATGTGGGGGTATCGTGCTGTCATAATGCTATTAGTGTTGATCATATTAGGCCTGGTTCTTCACCAGAAAATAAACTTATGCCAAACAATTAAAACTAAAGTCACCACCCTGAAGAAATGCTCGGGTCCAAAAGGTGAGGAAGCTTTTACAACTTTGAAGCATTTAAGCTTTTCAAAAATGTAGTGAATAGCATGAGGTTGCCCCTTTGATGTTAACATCTTGTAGTCATAAAGAAGTTTTTATCTCACTTTAAATAATTGTACGACTGATACTGACACTTTTGTGGCATCTTTATTTCAGAATCATGTGCTATGTCAGCTGGTACCCCATTGGTTATAAAAGGTAACTGTGATTAAGCTTGATTGTAGTATCAACCAGAGAACTGTCTCCGTTATGATGGGTGCTGCTATTAAAGTACGTGAAAGTACCTAGGGCTGTCGCTAAGGGGGTTGTCCACACCTGGTGCTTGGGAATGAGTACTTGGGTACAGTACAGAGTGGTGTTGTGTTTACACAACCTGAGTGCCTGATATGTCACTGTGTACATGGTTACTCCATTTTGCCCTGTCAGGTGCCATTTTGAAACATGAGCTGAGCAGCAAGTGCAAAGCATTGGACTGTCCCAGAACTAACAAAATGGTGTGCATACAGGAACTTACTGCCAGCTTTTGTCGCTGAGTACAAGGTCTTGACCTCATCATCAGGCACTGTTCCTGAATGCTAGCATTAATACTTGAAAAATGGGTGTGTTCACATAAGGGCCCAGCGAGTACCATACTCAGGCACCATGCCTAGGTGTCTATGATTTCAAGGTGCTGGTACAAGATTCTTGTTAACTGCCAGGAATGGCTAAAAAATGGACCTTTTTCAATTTTGAGCCACTTACTGTGAACAGGGTAAAGTGAAGGATTGAGTGGGACTGCCTAAAACTGCCTTCAGGATTGGAGGGCTAAGTCATTTACTTGTATTTTCTAGTTCATGTGGCAAACATCCTGTATATTGCTAGGACTACTTATGCACAGTGATGTACTCTAACAAAAGGAAAGACATCAGTGATAGCATCTCTTCTCTTTCTTTTTGTTCAAATAGAAAATAACTTCAAATTCAGTAAAACCCGAGCAGATGTGACTGAGAGGCTAGCAATGCACCTAAACGCAAGCAAGGATTGGAAGAGGCTGGCGGGTCTTATGAATTATAGCAGCGTATATACACAAAATTGGGAACTCACACCATGCGAGGCAACCCAAAAGCTGTTGCAGGACTGGTCACAGCGCTCAGATGCCACAGTCTTTACTCTGTACCAGTTCTTGAAGGAGCTGCGTAGGGATGATGCCGCATCATTGCTTTTGCCATACCTTACTGGTCAAGTTCCTGAGTGTGAGACTGTGTAAGGAGAATTCAGGTTTGTTCTTAACCTTCAGCTTCACTGCTGGGACACTTAAAGGGAATATTTCACATGGATATTACTGCGTTAGGTCATTTCTGTCCTAAAGTCATTACCAAGACTAGTACCTTTACCAGTACACAAAATGCCCCTGAAGAGTTCTAAAGAACATAATTATATGTATATATATATATATATTCATGAGGGAACACTATAAAACCATGATGATTTTTGGACGGATTTTTGCAGGCTTTAAAAAGGTCGGCCCAATGTTGTCAATTTGCAATCCATGTCCATCCTTGCCATCCATTGCAACAGAAGACAGGAAACAATTTCAATGCCTAAATATAGGCTTAAATAACAAAACTGGACCATTATTTCTGGAGTTTAATTGATGTAAAAAAAGTTTTAGCTTTTTGAAAAGGTAGCAAATAACATGATATAGCCCCTTTTAAAGTGTAAATTTCTGGACATGGGTGTTTCTTGTTACTGTGAAAACATAACTACTTTGGACAACTGTTCTGCTGTAGTGTGAGGAACTTTCATTCAATGCCGTTGTAGGGGACCATTAAAGTAGCCTGCAAATACAGCCATCTTTTCTTGCTCCTAGCCATTAGGGAAAGTTCACAGGAGAGATGTCTGCCCCACAACATCAGAGACTCCATAATGATGATGTAAAACAATGTTTGCTTGATTAATTTGGTAGTCGTGTGGTTTCAATATTTGTTTGTGTTTATATGAGTTGAGTTCTTCTGTGAACCAGCTGCAGCAAAACTCAAATGCCTTTTTTAAAGAAGAATGTATTCCACATGGAATAATGATTGTTGAGTTAGATTCATAGTGTTTTCATTTGACCTTTGTGACTGTTTGTCTGTTTGTCTTTTGTCGGTCATTCGCAAACAATAACTACTGCATCAACCAGTCAGGGCTCCTTACCAGATTCTAGACAGTTTTTATGTAATCAGAAATTCTGTTCTTGGGACACAAACATCTCTTCTGCGAAACGTTCCTAGTGCAGTGGCGGATCCAGGGGGAGGGTCAGGGGGGTGCGGACCCCCCTATCAGACCTTATGCTTGTTTGAGACTAAAATTCTTACATCGACAGGATCATCATATATCATTTTTTAACTGTCTGATTTTTTTAACGAAACACGCATTGCATTTTGCCACTAAACTGAATTCCAGGGATATTCAAAAATGTAATAAATTATTGTTTTTGAGTACCCTCCTATGATCTGTTTGCCTCTTCTCACAAAGCAGTTTTTCCTGCGCCAATGGCGACCAGCATTCATAGATTGAGAAACAAGTGGTTGTCTCTGCTTTTTCAGCTGGTCGACAATTACGGCGACAACTCGGCCGATAATGTGCAACTGCGACTGGTGAGAGGGGATATGGGGGAGAAGTAATTTGCTACAAAAAAGTCCCAAAACAGTCCATTCTGAACCAAAGTTTGGACCCCCTCCCCCCATCAAAAATTTTTGGATCCACCCCTGTGCTGGCGAGGAATCAGGTGAGGTGGATGTATTTGCAGGCTAAACTATTTGTGGATCAATATGCAACAGCATGAAACTGTCCTTGATTTTGAACCAGTAAGGAATGGTTCTAGGGCACAAGTGAGTTACTCACTGGCATGGCAAGTACGTGTGAGATGGTGTTAAAGGTATGAAAGTTACTTTCATGCTGCCCATTTCTTTTCCTACTCTGCCACCAGAGGGCCCCAGAGAGCTTGCTAGCAGGCAAATCATTTATGTTTACAAACAATGTAGTATAGCTGATAGAAATGATTTTTTTTATACATAGTTGTACTTATCAATTTGGGAGGAATTTTCAATGGTATTATTATGGTATTTTTCTATTATTGCAAACAAAAAAAATTCAAGGAATATTTTTTTAATGCAAAGTAGGTGCATGTAAATAATAATTATAGTGAAGTTTGTTTCAAAAAGGATAAAGAGATGTTTTCTTAGCAGATGCGATGAGATTAAGTGTTTTCGTGGCCCTTTTGGTGAGTATGTGTTTCTCTTGGACAAGATAGGTGAATGTTTGTGCTGTTAGTGAAAGATATCCAACCTCAATCGAAAGAACTGCGTCGTCTGACACACATGGACTTAACACCGATAAAACACCCACTAGGCCACTAGAAAATCTAATTTATGCTGTCTCCAGAATCATCTAAAATAGGGATTTTTTCTCCTCTGCTTCAAATATGTCGTCTGTACTGTCGAAACTGAAGTTGTAGTGTCGTGTTTGATGGTAAACTTGAATGCAAATGTTGTCCTCAGTTCAAAGGTGCTTCGTTTGCTCTTTTGAACAGGCTCACAGCGTGGATAAATTTGTGGAATTTTTTTCTCGTAATGTGCGGCAAAAATGTTGACATCCCAAGCTTACTTCACTACAGAAGCAAACATTTTTCTATTGGTGAAACATTTTATTTTTGTATCTTAGTTTATTGTTACCAAGGATAGTATCGGTAGCTAACGATCATTAACCTAACCACGCTTCACTTGACTTTTGACAATGCTTCATACACCAAGGAAGCCACCACCTTTGACGTCTTAATCAAACCTCAGCTCATACAGCACTAAGCTAAAGTTAGCTGGGTCGATTTGTAAACCTTTTATTCAATTCAAACTTTAACTTCTAGGAACTGACATTACTTTTAAGACCAATATTTGGTTTGCCTTTAGCTATTTTTAAACCTTTTTTGTTTATATTTGTTTATTAATAACTCCCTTGAGGAATTCAAATTATTTCTCAATGAAAGTTTTTATAATTCAGGTCATTTAGCACCATGGAGCTTTTGAAACCACAGAGTTAACGGCAGTGAAAAGGTTACTTATTAAGGAAAATTGAGTTCTTCTTACCACACACTTATATTATTCCAACTCCTTTTTTTGCTGAATTTTGGTGAATTTTCATTGGTTCGAATTTACATGAAATTGAAGGTCATGCAGCCGAAGATCAAAAACAAATCCCCACTTCCAGTATGTGAATAAACCATACCGAATCAAATATGTATCAGTCTACATGAAGTGTTACAGTGTGTTAACGCTTTAAGTCCCAATAGTGACCAACATCAATTTTCTCCTAATAATATCCATACAATGTCAAGAGATTAGGTTATGAGAATTAATAAAATGATCACCTAAGAGAAAATGCTTTGATCTTTTGTCAAATTCTCTCAACTCATTCTTTAAGGAAATATATAGAGATACGTTTGGAGAATTTGTATGTGGATATTGGGGCTTAAATGGTTAACAGTCAAGCCTCCACTAATGGCCTCCTCTCTCCACAATGGCCATATACAGTCTATACAGTGACTCTTGTTTAAAACTCTCTATAGCGGCCACTTTGGTCTGTCCCCAAGATGGCAATTGTGGAGAGGTTCAGCTGTAATTTATACAATCTATCGTTGATTAATTTCGCTGTGAAGAGTAAGATGAATGGGGAAGGGACAGGGTGGCAAGGAGGTTTTCTGTGACTTGTTTATTATTAATGGGACCCAAATTATCAGCTTGATGCATAGCAGCATGATGGGTGATTTACTATTTTCACAACATGTGATTTTCTTTTGAAAATTCCATGATGGTTGTAACCTTTCAGTTGCTCAGAACTTCTGAAAGAAAGTTATATTGGAGTGCCTCATTTTGCATTAACAGAGACAATATATTACTTTGCATTCTGTTTCAGTGTTTTGTGGCATGTGGCCTGGTGTGTGGACTGAGTTGTCCTACAGGACAGTTTCGTTCATCAGTTCCTAGACTTTGCTGCAATCTTTGTCCTGCAGGCCACTTTATGAGCAAAGAATGCCAGACGTCAGCTAATGACACACAGTGCTCGCCTTGCCGTTCAGGCACATACAATGCCAAAGAAAATAAAGACACTGCATGTCGTAACTGTAGAACATCCTGTCGAGATCAGAAGGAAACCATAGTGAAAAATTGTTCTTCAATTAGTGATCTTCAATGCGATTGTTCAGATGACTATTATCGAGATCCACATTCACTTCAGTGCAGAAAATGCACACCTTGTATGAAAAAGGGCCAAGTGTTGGTATCTCGTTGTGGAAAATACAAGGATGCAGTATGTAAGACTTGCGGCAAGGTAAGACAATAGTTGTAGGCTGCTTTTATGTGATAAGGTTCATGTTGGTAATCCTCTATTTTCACTGTCATGCCATCAAAAATAAAAGTGCAGACCATTTAATATAGAAAGTCCAGAACGTTGGAAATGAAGGAAGATAAATGTACAAAAAGCCTCGCGAAGAGTCTTTGCGATATGTCGTATGCAAGATATAAGGAAAAAAGGTTTCACCAAAATTTATGTAGCTTTGTATGACAGTGCCACTTTGGTGTCCCTTTGAGGGGCATAAATCTGGCCGCCAGAAACCAACAGAAACATCTGTCTAATGTGAGTTTTCCTACAAATGCTTGTATTCATTGCTTGAGGAACTCATGAAGATTAGAGTAATATATATTCTGAGAGAGGAATGTTTAGGTAACAGAATCTCAAAAAATTGGTAACGTTTTTATCCCACGTAAGAGCTTTCCTGGTAATGTGCAAAAATAAAAGTGTTTAGGTGGTGTAATACCTCATACATGGAAGTAGAAACTCGGAAGAACTAATAGTTTCTTAGTTTGAATTTTGGTGACCTCATTGTGAAAACCGGGAATACATTCAAAGGTTTGAACTCAACTGAGGGATTTCTTGCGCCCCGATTCAAGGCTGTGCTCTCAGAAAAGTTGAAAAAACTGCAACGAGTGCGAGCACAAGGGAGCGTTGTCCCAGGGAAAAGAAAGGTCTTACATCTTCTCCTTATTGAACCCGCTTACTACGGACACTTTCTGTGGTACGGTCTCCTAAGTGTCTCACTCTGTATTAACGGGGTTTGACTGTACCACGAGTTTAATAAGTATTGCTATGAATTCTACAAAGTAAAACTAAAATGAAACAGAAACTCTTTCCACAGAATTTCGGATTTCTTCTGACATTAAATGACCACGTCACTCGGGAGATCTTAATGTTGTCATGGGTTTAATCGTCAGGAGCCGTGTTGTTTCCTACACTCCTTTAGTGTCTAGAAGCCGTTAAAAGCAGTTTCCAGCCGTTTCCAAGTGATTTTGAGGGGGGTCTTCGTTTTCTCCACTCCGGGGGGATTGTGTAGAAAACGAAGACCCTGGTCGAAATTTTGTATAATTGATGATATTGTTGCCTTTCTCACACATCAAAGGTTGAGATACCCGTTTCTAGATATTTATAAGTGATTTTGAGGGGGGTCTTTGTATTTGGGTCTTAGGTCTTAGGTCTTCGTTTTCTACTCACCCGCTGCACACAGCCGAGATAAAGAAAAATATTTTTACATGGTAAACTGCCCCATATCCTCTGCGATCAGGGCAAAGTCGGGTGACCGGAAAGAGGTTTTGGGCACGTGGTTTTAGCACGCCTACTTGGTTTGGTTTATTTTATGGTTCTCCTATAGTTTTGTGCCTTGTATTTCTGTAGATTAAGATTATCCTAATATTAATTAAAAAATAAATCTTTTGTCAAAAAGAAACGGGTTTCCGCTATGACGACAACACAGTAAAAGAAGCCGCTCCCTTCCCCTGGTGGCGCAAACTTTTCACCACCGGACAGGCCCGGACTTGTATTGGAATGCCGAAGTAATGTAGTTTCTAACAATCGATTCTATTGGTGGATACTAGTGGAAGCCAATTGACTAGCCAATCAAATTGCGCGTTATTTTTGAAGGCCATAAGTTGCATCACAAGTTTTCTTCTGCCAAATACTCTTTGCTGGGTTAGTGACTTTCTAGTTTTAAGAGATGTTTTCTTAGCAGATGCGATGAGATTAAGTGTTTTCGTGGCCCTTTTGGTGAGTATGTGTTTCTCTTGGACAAGATAGGTGAATGTTTGTGCTGTTAGTGAAAGATATCCAACCTCAATCGAAAGAACTGCGTCGTCTGACACACATGGACTTAACACCGATAAAACACCCACTAGGCCACTAGAAAATCTAATTTATGCTGTCTCCAGAATCATCTAAAATAGGGATTTTTTCTCCTCTGCTTCAAATATGTCGTCTGTACTGTCGAAACTGAAGTTGTAGTGTCGTGTTTGATGGTAAACTTGAATGCAAATGTTGTCCTCAGTTCAAAGGTGCTTCGTTTGCTCTTTTGAACAGGCTCACAGCGTGGATAAATTTGTGGAATTTTTTTCTCATAATGTGCGGCAAAAATGTTGACATCCCAAGCTTACTTCACTACAGAAGCAAACATTTTTCTATTGGTGAAACATTTTATTTTTGTATCTTAGTTTATTGTTACCAAGGATAGTATCGGTAGCTAACGATCATTAACCTAACCACGCTTCACTTGACTTTTGACAATGCTTCATACACCAAGGAAGCCACCACCTTTGACGTCTTAATCAAACCTCAGCTCATACAGCACTAAGCTAAAGTTAGCTGGGTCGATTTGTAAACCTTTTATTCAATTCAAACTTTAACTTCTAGGAACTGACATTACTTTTAAGACCAATATTTGGTTTGCCTTTAGCTATTTTTAAACCTTTTTTGTTTATATTTGTTTATTAATAACTCCCTTGAGGAATTCAAATTATTTCTCAATGAAAGTTTTTATAATTCAGGTCATTTAGCACCATGGAGCTTTTGAAACCACAGAGTTAACGGCAGTGAAAAGGTTACTTATTAAGGAAAATTGAGTTCTTCTTACCACACACTTATATTATTCCAACTCCTTTTTTTGCTGAATTTTGGTGAATTTTCATTGGTTCGAATTTACATGAAATTGAAGGTCATGCAGCCGAAGATCAAAAACAAATCCCCACTTCCAGTATGTGAATAAACCATACCGAATCAAATATGTATCAGTCTACATGAAGTGTTACAGTGTGTTAACGCTTTAAGTCCCAATAGTGACCAACATCAATTTTCTCCTAATAATATCCATACAATGTCAAGAGATTAGGTTATGAGAATTAATAAAATGATCACCTAAGAGAAAATGCTTTGATCTTTTGTCAAATTCTCTCAACTCATTCTTTAAGGAAATATATAGAGATCAGTTTGGAGAATTTGTATGTGGATATTGGGGCTTAAATGGTTAACAGTCAAGCCTCCACTAATGGCCTCCTCTCTCCACAATGGCCATATACAGTCTATACAGTGACTCTTGTTTAAAACTCTCTATAGCGGCCACTTTGGTCTGTCCCCAAGATGGCAATTGTGGAGAGGTTCAGCTGTAATTTATACAATCTATTGTTGATTAATTTCGCTGTGAAGAGTAAGATGGATGGGGAAGGGACAGGGTGGCAAGGAGGTTTTCTGTGACTTGTTTATTATTAATGGGACCCAAATTATCAGCTTGATGCATAGCAGCATGATGGGTGATTTACTATTTTCACAACATGTGACGTGTGATTTTCTTTTGAAAATTCCATGATGGTTGTAACCTTTCAGTTGCTCAGAACTTCTGAAAGAAAGTTATATTGGAGTGCCTCATTTTGCATTAACAGAGACAATATATTACTTTGCATTCTGTTTCAGTGTTTTGTGGCATGTGGCCTGGTGTGTGGACTGAGTTGTCCTACAGGACAGTTTCGTTCATCAGTTCCTAGACTTTGCTGCAATCTTTGTCCTGCAGGCCACTTTATGAGCAAAGAATGCCAGACGTCAGCTAATGACACACAGTGCTCGCCTTGCCGTTCAGGCACATACAATGCCAAAGAAAATAAAGACACTGCATGTCGTAACTGTAGAACATCCTGTCGAGATCAGAAGGAAACCATAGTGAAAAATTGTTCTTCAATTAGTGATCTTCAATGCGATTGTTCAGATGACTATTATCGAGATCCACATTCACTTCAGTGCAGAAAATGCACACCTTGTATGAAAAAGGGCCAAGTGTTGGTATCTCGTTGTGGAAAATACAAGGATGCAGTATGTAAGACTTGCGGCAAGGTAAGACAATAGTTGTAGGCTGCTTTTATGTGATAAGGTTCATGTTGGTAATCCTCTATTTTCACTGTCATGCCATCAAAAATAAAAGTGCAGACCATTTAATATAGAAAGTCCAGAACGTTGGAAATGAAGGAAGATAAATGTACAAAAAGCCTCGCGAAGAGTCTTTGCGATATGTCGTATGCAAGATATAAGGAAAAAAGGTTTCACCAAAATTTATGTAGCTTTGTATGACAGTGCCACTTTGGTGTCCCTTTGAGGGGCATAAATCTGGCCGCCAGAAACCAACAGAAACATCTGTCTAATGTGAGTTTTCCTACAAATGCTTGTATTCATTGCTTGAGGAACTCATGAAGATTAGAGTAATATATATTCTGAGAGAGGAATGTTTAGGTAACAGAATCTCAAAAAATTGGTAACGTTTTTATCCCACGTAAGAGCTTTCCTGGTAATGTGCAAAAATAAAAGTGTTTAGGTGGTGTAATACCTCATACATGGAAGTAGAAACTCGGAAGAACTAATAGTTTCTTAGTTTGAATTTTGGTGACCTCATTGTGAAAACCGGGAATACATTCAAAGGTTTGAACTCAACTGAGGGATTTCTTGCGCCCCGATTCAAGGCTGTGCTCTCAGAAAAGTTGAAAAGAGCCCAGACCTCTTGAACCTGTGAAATCCAGGGTGCACAGCATATGATTTACATGAAGAAGGTAAGATTTTCTAGTCACTTAGGAGCAAAAGTTAGGCACCCGGAGCCACTGGGCACTGTTAGCGTACAGCCTTGCGATTGGTCAAGAGCAATATTGGTCGGTAATTATATGATAAATATATTTGGAGAAGAGAGAGAAAATTTTGTATCTGGTAGTTCTATTTCTTATGCATAAACACCATTGAAATACCGAACCATTTCACATATATCGTTTTCTTTCTGTGAAAGGTGCGATTTATCTTGTTTTGTAGCCATAGTGATGGTGATCTTTTCATGTGCGAGGATAACATGTTATTTTCTCATGTGAAGATATCATGTTGTCGATTTGCAGTTTTTTGTTTTAAATTGTGGTTCTTCTGCAACTGTCTTTATGTTATTATCTTTTCAGGAAGACTTTGTATTAAATAATCTGTGTGTACCATGCGATCGCTGCCATAAAGGAGAGTTTGTGGTGGAGGAGTGTTCGCCAAAACGAAACACTGTTTGTAGGAAACTTCCAACAAGTACACCCCCTTCCTCTTCTCCACATATTACCTCTCAAGAACCAGTTACTGGGACTAAGCTTGTTGAAAGAGGTACTGTACATGCCATGTAATTGTTACAAGACAAAATTAAATTCAGGTTAATAGTTTTGAACCTTGTTGATTCTCGATTTCCTTTGTCTCCTTTAGAAGACAGTCCAAAACGTGTACATTGTCTTGTTGATTATCTTATAATCAAAGAAGAAAGAGAATTTGATCACCCAAACGTACAGAAAAAATTCTGAGCTCACTGATCCACAGTAAAAAAATATTTCCAATAATTGATTCATTGCAACATCAACATGTTGAAAATTTCAACCATTGAATTCTTTACAGAAACGTATGAACACCATCCCTGATAGTAAGTGCAAACCAAATCTTTACTGTTTTCCTATTAGTCATAGCCGAATAGAGTTTCTAAAACAAAAGAAATAGGCATGTTTGATTGGTTAGAATAATTGAGGACACCAAAGAGAGCCATATGCCACTCTCAGGAATTTGAGGAGATAAAAGTTATGAGAATTTGAGGAGATAAAAGTTATGGGACTCTTGGTTGGGAAAAGGTTATTCCAAAAACTACCTGCTGTTCTGTAGACTTGTAGTTTTAATATTAGGCTTTTACTGCAGATTTGTGCTGCCAGGACTTTGTATAGAAGTGTGAGAGTACTTTTTTCTTAGCGTTAATTTGCTTCATGTCCCTTCATTGAAAGTTGTTATAAAAAGGAATTGATGTTCTTACTAATTTATATTTTGCAGCTGACCTTAACCCAACACCAGCTGAGATTAAAGCACAAAAGAGGTTTCAGGATGAGATGTGGGGGTATCGTGCTGTCATAATGCTATTAGTGTTGATCATATTAGGCCTGGTTCTTCACCAGAAAATAAACTTATGCCAAACAATTAAAACTAAAGTCACCACCCTGAAGAAATGCTCGGGTCCAAAAGGTGAGGAAGCTTTTACAACTTTGAAGCATTTAAGCTTTTCAAAAATGTAGTGAATAGCATGAGGTTGCCCCTTTGATGTTAACATCTTGTAGTCGTAAAGAAGTTTTTATCTCACTTTAAATAATTGTACGACTGATACTGACACTTTTGTGGCATCTTTATTTCAGAATCATGTGCTGTGTCAGCTGGTACCCCATTGCTTATAAAAGGTAACTGTGATTAAGCTTGATTGTAGTATCAACCAGAGAACTGTCTCCGTTATGATGGGTGCTGCTATTAAAGTACGTGAAAGTAGCTAGGCCTGTCGCTAAGGGGGTTGTCCACACCTGGTGCTGGGGAATGAGTACTTGGGTACAGTACAGAGTGGTGTTGTGTTTACACAACCTGAGTACCTGATATGTCACTGTGTACATGGTTACTCCATTTTGCCCTGTCAGGTGCCATTTTGAAACATGAGCTGAGCAGCAAGTACAAAGCATTGGACTGTCCCAGAACTAACAAAATGGTGTGCATACAGGAACTTACTGCCAGCTTTTGTCGCTGAGTACAAGGTCTTGACCTCATCATCAGGCACTGTTCCTGAATGCTAGCATTAATACTTGAAAAATGGGTGTGTTCACATAAGGGCCCAGCGAGTACCATACTCAGGCACCATGCCTAGGTGTCTATGATTTCAAGGTGCTGGTACAAGATTCTTGTTAACTGCCAGGAATGGCTAAAAAATGGACCTTTTTCAATTTTGAGCCACTTACTGTGAACAGGGTAAAGTGAAGGATTGAGTGGGACTGCCTAAAACTGCCTTCAGGATTGGAGGGCTAAGTCATTTACTTGTATTTTCTAGTTAATGTGGCAAACATCCTGTATATTGCTAGGACTACTTATGCACAGTGATGTACTCTAACAAAAGGAAAGACATCAGTGATAGCATCTCTTCTCTTTCTTTTTGTTCAAATAGAAAATAACTTCAAATTCAGTAAAACCCGAGCAGATGTGACCGAGAGGCTAGCAATGCACCTAAACGCAAGCAAGGATTGGAAGAGGCTGGCGGGTCTTATGAATTATAGCAGCGTATATACACAAAATTGGGAACTCACACCATGCGAGGCAACCCAAAAGCTGTTGCAGGACTGGTCACAGCGCTCAGATGCCACAGTCTTTACTCTGTACCAGTTCTTGAAGGAGCTCCGTAGGGATGATGCCGCGTCGTTGCTTTTGCCATACCTTACTGGTCAAGTTCCCGAGTGTGAGACTGTGTAAGGAGAATTCATGTTTGTCCTTGACCTTCAGCTTCACTCTTGCGATACTTAAAGGGGCTATTTCACATGGATAATGCTGCCATTTCTGTCCTAAAGTCATTACCAAGTAACTTAACCCATACACAAAATGCTCCTGAAGAGTTCTAAAGAACATATATAACACAATTTCATGAGGGAGCACTATAAAACCATGATGATTTTTGGATGGATTTTAGCAGGCTTTAAAAAGGTCGGCCCAACGTTATCAACTTGCAATCCATGTCCATCCTTGCCGTCCATTGCAACAGAAGACAGGAAACAATTTCAATGCCTAAATATAGGCTTAAATAACGAAACTGGACCATTATTTCTGGAGTTTAATTGATGCAAAAAAAGTTTTAGCTTTTAGCAAATAGTGTGAAATAGCTCCCTTTTCAAGTGTAAATTTCTGGACATGGGTGTTTCTTGTTACTGTGAAAACATAACTACTTTGGACAACTGTTCTGCTGTAGTGTGAGGAACTTTCATTCAGTGCTGTTGTAGGGGACCATTAAAGTAGCCTGCAAATACAGCCGTCTCTTCTTGCTCCTAGCCATTAGGGAAAGTTCACAGGAGAGATGTCTGCCCCACAACATCAGAGACTCCATAATGATGATGTAAAACAATGTTTGCTTGATTAATTTGGTAGTCATGCGGTTTCAATATTTGTTTTTGTTCATATGAGTTGAGTTCTTCTGTGAACCAGCTGCAGCAAAACTCAAATGCTTTTTCTAAAGAAGAATGTATTCCACACGGAATAATGACTGTTGATTTAGATTCATGGTGTTTTCATTTGACCTTTATGACTGTTTGTCTTTTGTCCGTCATTGGCAAACAATAACTACTGCGTCAACCAATCAGGGCTCCTTACCAGATTCCAGACAGTTTTTATGTAATCAGAAATTCTGTTCTTGGGCCACAGACATCTCTTCTGCGAACCTTTCCCAGTGCAGTGGCGGATCCAGGGGGAGGGTCAGGGGGTCCAGACCCCCCTATCAGACCTTACGCTTGTTTGAGACTGAAATTCTTACATCGACAGGATCATCATATATCATTTTTTAACTGTCTGATTTTTTAACGAAACGCGCATTGCATTTTGCCACTAAACTGAATTCCAGGGATATTCAAAAATGTAATAAATTATTGTTTTTGAGTATCCTCCTATGATCTGTTCACCTCTTCTCACAAAGCAGTTTTTCCCGCGCCAATGGCGGGCGACCGGCATTCACAGATTGAGAAACAAGTGGTTGTCTCTGCTTTTTCAGCTGGTCGAGAATTATGGCGACAACTCGGCCGATAATGTGCAACTGCAACTGGTGGGAGGGGATATGGGGGAGAAGTAATTTGCTACCAAAAAGTCCCAAAACAGTCCATTCTGAACCAAAGTTTGGACCCCCCCCCCCCCACCAAAAATTTTTGAAAAGTCACCACCCTGAAGAAATGCTCGGGTCCAAAAGGTGAGGAAGCTTTTACAACTTTGAAGCATTTAAGCTTTTCAAAAATGTAGTGAATAGCATGAGGTTGCCCCTTTGATGTTAACATCTTGTAGTCGTAAAGAAGTTTTTATCTCACTTTAAATAATTGTACGACTGATACTGACACTTTTGTGGCATCTTTATTTCAGAATCATGTGCTGTGTCAGCTGGTACCCCATTGCTTATAAAAGGTAACTGTGATTAAGCTTGATTGTAGTATCAACCAGAGAACTGTCTCCGTTATGATGGGTGCTGCTATTAAAGTACGTGAAAGTAGCTAGGCCTGTCGCTAAGGGGGTTGTCCACACCTGGTGCTGGGGAATGAGTACTTGGGTACAGTACAGAGTGGTGTTGTGTTTACACAACCTGAGTACCTGATATGTCACTGTGTACATGGTTACTCCATTTTGCCCTGTCAGGTGCCATTTTGAAACATGAGCTGAGCAGCAAGTACAAAGCATTGGACTGTCCCAGAACTAACAAAATGGTGTGCATACAGGAACTTACTGCCAGCTTTTGTCGCTGAGTACAAGGTCTTGACCTCATCATCAGGCACTGTTCCTGAATGCTAGCATTAATACTTGAAAAATGGGTGTGTTCACATAAGGGCCCAGCGAGTACCATACTCAGGCACCATGCCTAGGTGTCTATGATTTCAAGGTGCTGGTACAAGATTCTTGTTAACTGCCAGGAATGGCTAAAAAATGGACCTTTTTCAATTTTGAGCCACTTACTGTGAACAGGGTAAAGTGAAGGATTGAGTGGGACTGCCTAAAACTGCCTTCAGGATTGGAGGGCTAAGTCATTTACTTGTATTTTCTAGTTCATGTGGCAAACATCCTGTATATTGCTAGGACTACTTATGCACAGTGATGTACTCTAACAAAAGGAAAGACATCAGTGATAGCATCTCTTCTCTTTCTTTTTGTTCAAATAGAAAATAACTTCAAATTCAGTAAAACCCGAGCAGATGTGACCGAGAGGCTAGCAATGCACCTAAACGCAAGCAAGGATTGGAAGAGGCTGGCGGGTCTTATGAATTATAGCAGCGTATATACACAAAATTGGGAACTCACACCATGCGAGGCAACCCAAAAGCTGTTGCAGGACTGGTCACAGCGCTCAGATGCCACAGTCTTTACTCTGTACCAGTTCTTGAAGGAGCTAGAGGAATTTTCAATGGTATTATTATGGTATTTTTCTATTATTGCAAACAAAAAAAATTCAAGGAATATTTTTTTAATGCAAAGTAGGTGCATGTAAATAATAATTATAGTGAAGTTTGTTTCAAAAAGGATTTTAATGTTTCTTTTATAAGGAAAAAGTAACAGTTTATACTTGGACCAGAGTTTCTCTGTGTTTGTGGGTTTTTAAAGAAAAAATTATTTTCCTGAGGTGCGGGATTGGTGATCGTAACAATATGAATAATGATTATAATTATTATTTTGTACACGTGATCAAATTCTCTTGCAATTAAGAGACAAGCAGCTTATCAAGGCATGTAAATATTAATTAAAAGGCTATTTTTTATCATTGTTTTTCCACAAAGACAACAGAGTTTATTTTTTACTCTTGAGAAAAGTGATTGTCAAGACTTCACCTCAAAATGTTATGTCTACCTATTTCCTTGATTAATCAATCAAGGAGGTTTATTTTTTCATTGCTTCAAAAAATAGGTTAAGTGTTGATTACGGAGGAGAATGTACAGTATGTCCAAAAAAAATGTTTGGACAGCATTGCAATTTGTGGTACTAGGTGTGTTTTTATATATCCTGAAGTATTTACAAATTGCTGTTATAGGACCTTTTTCTCATTTTTAGCCAGGTTATGTTCCGAAAAGTTGCGTGGCTTTGAGTAGTTCTTCTGGTCTACATGTCTGGCTCACCATGCTTGTAGACTTTCTTCTTTTAAGGAAAGTGGAAAAAGCCTATTCGCAGTCAAGAAAGTTGTTTAAGTTGTTAAGTATAGACAGAAGAAAACAAAGCAAAATATTGTCAAGTTAGCATGATGTTTATTTGACAAATCACTCCATTGAAAACAAAATTAAGTTATGTCGCAAGTTAGTCTTAATTTATTCATGGCACAATAATGGGGCTATGTCACAAGGGTGTTGCAGTTTGAGGTCATTTTTGTGCTAAAGTTAGACTGAAAAACAGTCGGTATTTTTGCGTATTCAAGTCAGTGGAGCAGTCAAGCAAAAGGTCTGGAACGAGGCTGTAAACAGAGAGCAAGACTGGGGAGAGATGCTAAAAGTACGCCCAACGGGCGTGTGAGGCTTGCGCTTTGCATGTGTAACACTCTTACGCCATGCTTTACCCATTTCTTTACTGATTTTGAGAAAAAAATGACTGTTTTGCAGTCTATGCTAAAGTCATTAATTACTGCCTTTGCCTAGACACAAAATGCTTCCATAGCGTTATGGATATGATATCAATCAAATTTCATCAGAGAGCACTTAACGTAATAATTTTGGTGATTTTGGTTGGCATAGCATTAAAACTTGAAATAGTTGGCCCAACTTTTTCAAGTTTCAATCTATGCCCATCCATAGCAATAGGTGACAGGAAACAGTTTTGATAATTATAATGTCTCAAATGACAGAAGTGTGACATTATTTTTGGAATTCAACTGATGCAAAGAAGTTTTAGCTTTTAAAAAACATAGCAAATAGCATGACATAGCCCCTCTAACCATATAACAAGTAGACCATAATAGGCCTTTTACATTAGTTGATCACGTGATCAACTTTCGGTAAACACGATAAACTCTCATGTTGTTTTATGTTATAAAACTCTTCTTGTGAGAAAAACTCTTATTGACACCCAGTCACACTTGAATGGTTTTCCGTACAACTCCTTGTAATTTCTGAATTTTTCAAACTGTTGTTAATCTTTCCTTTACCCATTCAAAGTGCCTGTTATGAATTAAAAGGAGATTTGACCCCCTTAATGCTTAAGGAAGAATTTCACAACAGTTTGAAAATTTCAAAATTGGCAAGGATTTGTATGGAAAACAATTCAAGCATGACTAGGTGGCAAAAGTTGTTTTTCTCATACAAATCCAATCTAATTTTTGGCAACCATTGCAATTGCTGCTTTTGAGATGCTGAAAATTTAAAGGTTACCTAATTTTAATATGCTCTTAATTCAGCTCGTGCTAAGAAAATTTTTCAAAAGCGAATTGTTTTCGTGTTTACCCAAAGTTGACCACGTGATCAACTAATGTAAAAGGCCTATTATGTTAAATCCTCAAATTTTTACAAGTTCGCCCACAAGCCTTAAAATATATGTTGCCTTGTTTCAATTAATCTTATTTGATTCAGTAAATTTTGGTGATTGGGAACGCCATGTAGGTGTAATGAAATGTACATTCAAATGAATGAGATAATCAGTTTTTGTAAGTGTAGTAATTTTAGATTATTAACGCAGGGATGTTCTTAACCCTTAAGTCTATATACGCTCTAATTTTGTTAGCTTTTTCAACTATCCATTAACCCTTCTTATCCAATAATGATGAGCCTTAATATTATGTAGTGTTTGATACATTGACATGACATGACAATTTTATATGTAGAAAATGTGATTTAGGATACTCTCCTATGGTCTTGATTTCTTGAAGAAGTCTTGAAATTTGCCCTTGAAAAAGTCTGGAAAATAGAGATCAAGTCTGGAAAAATGGTAAAAAGTCTTGAGTTTTTTAAAAGTTACAGCAAGTGCTTTATATGTGAATATTTTTTTCATTTTGGTCTCAATTGTTTTTCAACCTTGCCTGTACGTTTGCGGTGCATCATAAAAAAAGCCCTGTGTTTGTGTTTTTTAAGGCCTCTCTAGATCACCTACTTGATGACCCTGAGTCTGGAAAAAGAAATTATTGTTTTGGAAAAGGTCTGGGAAAAGTCTTGGGTTTGGAATCCAAAAATCTGTACAAAACCTGCACATTTAAAGGATTTTGTGAAGCTTTGACTCTACCTAGCAAATACTACAGAAGGCTAATTTCAATATTGAATATTTAAGGGTTAATTGGAATAATATTATTTTAGCAGATTATAATGAATGATTCTGTATTTACCCTAATAAATTAACTGTTTTCTTGCCCGTAGGGCTTTTAGGGGCTAGCAGCACTAATCAACAGTTATAAGATTACAGTATATTTTCCAAAAAAAAAAAACTAGTTATTTTACATCTTACAGCCCTTGCAGATTCCCTTGAAAATGGGAAATTATAACAAAACCAGTGAATGTAGCTTGTGACAACAGTATATTATTTAATTAGATGGACGAAATGGAGGAATATTTAAGCGATGAAGTTTATGGAGTGTTGCCAATTAAACCATTTAGCAAATTATTGGTTAATGTTAGGTAACTAACTGGCAAAGTCAGTTTTAGTTAGAGCTGCATCCTAAGCAGTTTATGGAGCCAATAGTTATTCTGCCAATTTGTTATACATTGGAAAACTGTATTTAATAAAAAAAATGACTGAAATTAAAGGTCAGATTCTTTTTGCCAAGTGCTTGCTTGACTTGTCTCAGTCGAGAATAAATAATAGTGGACCCCTGTTGTCTTCATTAATGCGCAGAGTAAAGAAGTTGTTCTAAACAACTGGAGGCAAATAAAGACAAAGTTCGAGGTATGATACAAATTTTAATTATTAGAAATTTGCGCCTTCTCGTTCTCTCTATAAAGCATATACTCTTCCAATCTCTCCATTGACTCAGGCGATCCGTGCCTTCTAACGTAGGCCTGTCAGTTCAGAACAAGGAAAAAGCAAGATTACAAGAAATGACTTAAATGCTCTTAACTAGAATTAATGTGCATGTTTTAACCATTAGCATAAGTTGCTGATACCCCATAAGTGTCTTGTCTATTGTTGTTATTCTGTTGTCCAGTCAACTGCGTTGTTCTATCGTGTAGTCTATTTTGTTCTTGTATTATTTCCCAGTCTATCACATTGTCCTGTTGTTCAGTTATTGTCCAGTCTATTGTGTTATAATTCTGGTGTCCAGTTTATTGTGTTACCGTAAAATTCTGAAAATAAGCCTGGGGGCTTATATTTTTCAAAGGCCCTTTTTGAGGGGCTTATATTGGGAGGGGCTAATGTATGGAGGGAAATTCGCGTTTCAAAATCGATTGTGCTAGCTTGAAGTGGGAAGGAAATTTACCATTTTTGCTTTGTTTTACTTTGTATTCGAGGGCAAATTTCAAGTACAAGCCCCCCACCCGGGGCTTATATTNCCCCCCCCCCCCCCCCCCCCCCCCCGGGGGGGGGGCTTATATTCGGAGTGGCGATTTAACGGAGGGTTTTTTTGCATTATGACTTGGGGGGGTGGGGGGGGGGTTATATTTGGAGGGGCTTATTTTTGGAATTTTATGGTATGTTATTTTCCAGTCTATTAGGGTATACCATTGTCCATTCTACTGCATGATTATTTTATGGTCTAGTCTATGGTGCTGTTCTTTAGTCTGGTTTATTGTGTTATGCTACTGAGCAGTCTCTTGTGTTGTTCAGTTAATCCTATTGTCCAGTTTATTCTTCATGTTCTATTGCTTGGTCTACAGAGTTTTTTCCCATGACGTTACGGCAGCCATATTAGTGTCCCAAAACAATGGAACAGCGGCCACGCTGGGGTCCCAAACCAGTCCTGTGGGAGTTGAGTTCCTTTCTTATGCAAATGCTTTCGTTTATTCCAATAAATTTGGATAGATGCTGGCCATGTGAGTGAAAACACACTATTGTTTTGCTAATGTCCAGTCTATCGTTCTGTTCAATTCCCCTGTCAACTGGGTTGCTTTCTATTCCCTGGTCTTTTGTTGGATGTGTTGTTTGTTTGCATTTTTTTCACTGACTGTCCATTCTATTAATTTCATTCACTGTTAGAACCATTCATAACTTACCCGCAACATAAACAATCCTTTAAGATTGTTTCTGATTGCTTGTTCAGCTATCTTACTGTAGGGATGTAGAAGATGATGAAGTTTTACCACTTCCACGCAGTCTTCCCAACTGTCAAGAAAAAAGTGACTGTTAAATGGCACGTTAAGTTCATACTTAAACCAAATTTCAACAAATTCACTAATATTGTGAGAGCTTTGCCTGTGAATTCCAATAGAGTTTTATAATGAAAAAAGCACTTAAAGCAAAAACCTGATGCATAATTATTTTATTTACCCTGCTAACAGAGTCTCCTTCGATCTTCCTTGAAGCGACTCTGCTAGCAGTCATTTTTAAAAAGTGGACAAATCTTGTGTGATGTGAGTATATGTGATGAAGTAAATATGTGATGATAGATGCTATTATATTTTAACGCCCACAATTTGCATTATTAAACATATCAAGTCAAGTCAGTTAAAACAATTCCTTACAGGTCTCTCGTCATCATGTCTTCAATTAGTTCCATTATTCTTTGAGCCTTTACAAGGTAATAAACCAGTCCTCCAAAGTGTCTCGTTGATCTCAAAAGATCAAACTTGTCACTGAGTACAATGTCTTCATAAGTCTTGTGATGTACCTGGTGTAAAGAGAGAAATACACCCTAAGATCAAACTTTGTATTCTCATTTGTTGCCCCTATATATTTCCTATAAGAGTGGTAGTGAGAATTGATTGAAGTTCTTGAAGTATCAACTCCTTGTATCTTGTGTGATCATGTCCATAATTCCCATGACCTCTCTGTTTTACAAAGCATTGATATTACAAGGAGAAATTTGATGCTGGTCACTCTTAAGGCTTAATTAGAGGATTAATACAGTTGAACTTTCATGTACAACCACCTCTTATAATTAAAGACAACCTCCCATAAGCAACCAACAACTATCCACAGTGCCAAAATTATCCCTGTCAAAGCCCTATTATTAGAACCTTTCAAAAACGACCATCTTTCATAATCAAACAAAACCACTTTTTGGCCCGACAGTCTTATAGTTATGCATTGCTTTTAACTTCTACTATAAAGCAACTACCTGACTCATGGCATGGTCTCTTTGCTTTATGTACTATGCCACTCAGGGTAGAAAAAGAACTTTCAGTGACAACACACAAGCATATACTGTAAAATTCTGAAAATAAGCCCCTCCATATATAAGCTCCTCCAAATATAAGCCCCCCAAAACGGTAACGCAAAAAACCCTTCCTTAAATCACCCCTCCAAATATAAGCCCGCCGGGGGCTTGTATTTGGAAATATCCCTCAAATACAAAGTTAAACAAAGCAAAAACAATAAATTTACATCCAACTATAAGGCTAGCCCAATCGATTTTGAAACACAAATTTTCCTCCATAGATAAGTCCCTCCATATTATAAGCCCCTCCAAAAATAAGCCCCTCAAAAAGGGTGAAAAATATAACCCCTGGGGCTTATTTTCAGAGTTTTAAGGTAACTTCTAAGAAATTCCATGCAATAAATAATTTCTCTGCCAAAAAGAATATGTATCCGGACCTCTTCTCAGAAAAGACCTCCTGTGGTTTCATTCTCTTACAGGCTAACACTTTCCATAAGCGACCACTAAATCTTTTCATTTTGGTGGTCTCTCAAGGGAGGTTACCGGTAAGTTCAACTAATTCGATTAACCCAAAAAGTAAAGGGATTAAAAAGCTGAAAAATGTTTCCTCTTAGTATATTTTGTTTTTACTTACTCTGATATAATCTGCTGAATCAGGCTCAAACTGTACAACTGTCAGATCAAGAGCATCTTCATGGCGATTCTGTTGAAACACTCTCTGTGAAACAGAAGAAATACAGCTTTTAAACAGCTGACTTGGAAACAAAATACCACAACCTTTCTATCGAGTTTCCCCTCCCTTTTAACATTTCTCCTGTTGAACACTCAAAAACTTAATGCCTCTAACAGACATGACACGAGAAGTGACTGTAAAAATTCTAGACTTTCAGGCCACTTCACGACCTAAAGACCTCACTCCGCTTGCTTATTATTTATAAAACTCCACTTAGAGTTGCGTGACGACACTAAAGACCGCTGTGTAGACTAGTCGACTTGTGGCAATTCTATAAACATTCCTGCACAGAAACATAATAATAATTTATTATTCAGAACCAACTGTACCAAAATAATAGTGATTAGCAGATTGCATAAACTCAATTGGAGTTACTTTATCCATTAAGTTTACATTACCTTAAGGTTTTCATCTTTTAGCAGTTCAGGTATTTCATGTTTTCTCCCTGGTTTCGGAAAGTATATCTGATTCATTCTGTCCCTTTCCTCCCACCTGGCTTTTCGTAATCTTCCATTTGCCTCTCTTATGGTTATTAACCTGGTCTGAATAAGAAATAAACACTCAAAGTTTTAATTAAAAAAGTACAGTCAACTGTTGCTTAACCTTATACAGTGTGACAGGCAAAACCGTGAACACTTGAAATATGTCAGGGATGTTTATTGTGCTATGACCAATCACAGCAAAGATCAAGATGTGAACTGGCCACAGAACCACAAACTAATTGATGACCTTGCTTGTGGTTGATTGGCTTTTTTTCTTGGAACACAATAACATAATATTCCTGGTGTTTACGATTTTCCTGTTTTGACTGTAAGTCCCAAATTTATATCTGCATAGTACACATTCTTAAGACTTAAATCTCCATACATAATTTTTGTGAAAAATTTAGTTGTAAGAATTTGTTAAAAGATCGATCATTTTCCCTTCCCTTCTCTTTTATTAACTCTCATAACCCTTCTCCTTGATTATAATATATTGATACCTATGTTATAAGAAGAGAATTGGTCAGAGATGGTTCTATAAAATGGACACCTGGCCCCAGATGTTGAGAAGGTGGATAGTACTATCCACAGACTGTATAAATCTCTCTCCAGTGGGTAGTGGTTTCCTTAATACTTATCCACAGGATGGAGATTTTCCCAATGGATAGTGCTATATACCTCTTGAACACCTGGGGCCTGGTGTATGCCCCAGGCTTTTGTAAGATGGTGACTCTAAGACAGACAGTTGGGGTTGGTCACGACATTTAACAGGAATGGCAATGCGAATGTCAAAATAGCAATGGGTTTGATACACAAAACAAAAAAGCTGCTGTCACCCAGAAAGAGCACTTCTGTAATCATTAATCTTACTCTGTTGCACACACTGGTACTAATATCAGTGAAGACATAACTTGACTCTGAAAAGTGAGCTATGTCCTTATTTTCTTCCAACACTTCATTGATCTCCTGCCGTTCTTCCATCACAGGTGGCATTTGAAGTAATTTTTCAGCTTTCCCTTCAATTTCATGTTGAGCCTAAAACAAAAAAAATACATAAAATATATAAAAACATTCTCTCTAATAAACACCTTGCTAAAACAGACATCTGAAGTAGGACAGTGACTAGCTCCAGATGTCTGTTCTAAAAAACATTTTATGGGGATGGGTTCCCATGAATTTTCACGGAACCAAAAAATTGTTACTGATGGTTTCCCATGATCTCCTGGGCATGGAACTGAAATATTGTTTTCCATGGGAATTGAAATTCTAGGGCTTGGTTTTAGAGAGGAGAGACCCCTGGGAATTTGGGCTAACTGCTCTAAAAGAGGAGAAAAGCCCCCTGCCCACCACATACATACCCCTCCCCCTCCTCTAAAAGGAAAATGCGTCAGCTGTCAAATGGCTGATAATCGCCTGACTGTTGGCTGAGATAATGCAGAAATATCTTCAAAATAAGTAAAAGATGTAGGATTTCTGAACAACCCCATAACATGCATAACTCAACACAAGCCTACATGTACATTGTACGCATGTGTCAAATAGTATGAAAAAGATGTTACAGGCTTAATAAATGTATGGGGTAGTACGGAAATCTACAGCAAAAGTATCCTTTGAAGTAAAAAAGATGTATCTCTAACCTGTAGAAACTCGGAATCTGTCATTAATTTGTATGTGGGAACAGTCAGATCTTGTTTACGTGCAGAGTAGATTTTCTCCAAGTTGCGACCCGTGATTTTCTTCAAAATGGATCTTACATCTTTGTTATCGAAAGGTAGAAAGTTCGGATGGCTTTTAGAAGATTCATTCACGCAAAAGGACCTTGAAACTAGCAATCGTAAAGGAGTTTTAAAAAGGCGAAATCTACAAGAGGTCGCCATGTTGATTATTTCACCATACATGACGTACTGTGTAGAGGTAATAGTGTACTGCTGACCAATCTTATTTCATTGGGGATGGGGTCGGGGATAAAAGCCAAAAAAAAAAAACACAAACAAATGATTTTTAAATCCTGCGAACACGAGTTTCTTTCGAAAAAGGAATAATTTTTTTTAAAATGGAAGCATAGGTGATAAAGAACGTAGAATTAGCCAAATGAAAACCATCACTTGAAAGATTGTCAAGATTCTGGCATCACTTCTACCCTACCGGACACAGGTGTTTTAAAGACTTGGACACAAGATTCAAGATGGCGGTCGTCTCAGCACTGCTTCGCTACTGCATGAGGCATCCAGCTCGTGTATTGTGTATCACTTTGTTAGTGCTACTTGTAATCGCCAGCCGGTTTCTTTATTCTTCGGTTCCGGAACAGCAGCATCTTCACGAGCTAAATATTATGGCTGGCAGCTTATCACATGTGGGTAACAGAAAACTTGTTCATTCTAAAGCGAAGGGATACCAACCTATTTTGCCTGTAAAACATGTAGGTGTTGAAT